GCAGATGGATGTATCTGCCGGACGCTGAGCGGTCACAGAGGTAATCACATGAAGGGACAAAAGTGAGAAAAGTCCACGAAACTTCATATTTGTGTGAAACGTAGTGCGATTGACAAGTTGAGGGAATGATAGAAGAATTCTGGGGATGGACGACACTGTATATACGACGTGACCCCACCAGACCTCAGTTTCCGTCCTACAGGCACATCTATGATCGAGCAAGTTTCGCGCGGGTGGTTAGCGACGAAGTGTGTGTACGATTGTGGTTGCATTGGTAGGTCTTTCGATCAGCAGTTGTGCCCCGCACATTGACTAGTGAACACCATGCCTCTTCGAGAGCACCTCCCTGTCTGGAAGCAGACCGACTTTCCTACTTTGGAGAAGTGCAAATACGCATTCTTGATGAAGGCTAGATCGGCGAGACTTGTGTCTAAATAAGACGCAGCTAAGCTTTTATAGGGCTTGTCGATCTTTCGTAACCAGAACTTTAACTAGACACCTTGGCCAGCTAGTAGACGAAAATATCTTGCAATGTCACAGGAGCGCAGGGATAAGCTGCGGGACCACTGCTACCTATACGCGCTAGGGGCCTTCGCAACCTCTGGACCTGGACGCAATCTTTGAACGGGTGCAGGGTATCGCAACGCCCAGTTTAGATCAACGGCAAAGAATGTGCCCAGTTATCAGATAACAGACTGTGTCTTCTGCGACGACTGCGCAGAGGCCCTTGGCAAGAGGGGACATGCGGCAGACGAACCTTTGTCCCATGAGGACGCGCGCCCACAGCTTCATAAGTCTCACCTACAGTGCGGTAGACTATCGCAGGAACTAGTAAACTGATGCTATCTCCGCACCACAGGCCCCTCTAGGAGACTCAATGACAAGCATGGCCTGTGAGACCCAGAAGAGGGTTCTGCGGTTAGTCTGTGAAGGATAACAAAACAACGAAGTGCGGAGAAGCGGCAGCAGCCAAGGAATGCAAACGAACGGTCCTATAATCCCGCAACTCCTAGGACAACCGCGGAACCATCATCGCGCATATCGAAAGCCTCCTAGTTCCTTGTACCGCGGGCCTGCGTCTACCCTCGACTTGCAAACTTAGCTGGGAGGTTTCGTGAATCCGGCCGCCCTTCCCCAAACTTTCGGGCCTTGGTTAGCAGCAACGTACAGCAGACTTGATGGGAGAAAAAGCGGTTTCTCGAGTAGTCTTAATGTCCACGCTGCATAATGCACCAAACGACGCATTCCATGAGACTTCTTCGTTGTTGACGGGTAGAGCCAAAGAGCTTGCGACAATCACCGACTACTGTTGAAACGACGTTCGAGCGGCCGGCTCCATACGCTTGTCGCCCTGAAGATCTGTATGTTGTACATAGAGAAACTGGATGGGAAGCAGGTCGGACAAGGCCGTGCTTACGTAAAGGGTCGACTGGTTTTCAAAACTACCTCCCTTTCTTCGCGCTTACCCTCTCCTCCTTCTGCGGCTCAATGCGTTTAAGGCGACTGTATTGTGCTTTACCAGATGCAACTGGAAATATCTCCACCTTCTCAAGCTGCTGGCTTCTGATCCCGCACAGCATATATGAATCATAGCAACCATCGTCTGCTGAAACCACCCTGAACATCCGTCAGCTCCCATATAACCAGAGCGAATCAAAACAAGCACGCCTGCCGAGCACGCGCATACTGTCTGTTGAGGAACGAGTCTTGCTGCATTTTGCAATGTTATCATCATGCAGCATTCTAAGTCTGGCAAGGACGACTGACTATCTACTTTGCGAATGGTCCAATAACCTTTCCAGCAAGTCGATCTGCTTCCGGCTCTCCTCTTTCTGCTCCTCCATCTGCTTCTGTTGCTGCTCAAGCTGAGCCTTGTACATCTGTTCAATCTTGGTCATCTGTTCTTTCATCAAGGTCAACTCCCCTTGAATTCCCCGGCTTTTGGTGCGACGAAGCTGTGGTTTGGACGATGATCCCATTTCCTGCGAGGACTGTTCGCTCGCTTACGTCTCATTTTCGCTGGGGCTAAAATCAATGGCCGTAGCTGTTTTGCGTGGATCTGGCAGACGTGCGATTGCCTGCTGTATTCTTTGCAAGTGCGAGGGATAGAAGTCGCGGTAGACGGCACGAGTGAAATTTGATCCCGCGTTTCTGTCTCGACCGTAGTGACCGTCTAGGCTGTAGTCGTGAAGATAGTAACGATGAAAGGTAATACGACCATCTTCGATGGGTGGGAAGTGACCATATATTTCGACCACTTCGTTGTCATGGGAGATGCTGAAGGCGAGGACGCGACCGCTGAGACTTTGGGTTAATTCTTCCCCAGAAGCACGACATAGCTGAACGATCGCACTAACGGCGATGCTGGCGCTCTGGACATTCTGTCGATCCACGTCATTAACATTCCTTTTCCCGCACTTCGCTTCACACAGGAGGAACGCGAAGTACATGGATTCTGTAAACTTCGTCGGGTTATCAATATTTGTGTAGTTCGCCAATTCAGCACGCTCCTCTTCTGTGAAGGTCGCCGTTGACTAGCCATATGCATAGTTGGGCCTTGGCTGCGTGGCCCCGAGCAGACTGCATTTCGTCCAATCCACTGACAGTTCACCAGGGGCGCAGGTACGAGAGCGGACAGACTGGTGTCTGAATTGCTTGGCAGCTAGTGGCCTTCGCAGTCTTCCCGGCAAGTGCATGGTTGTGGTGGATGATATATGCCTAAGTTACAAAAACTTCGGCGGCCTGCACTCGCAAATGGTGGAGAACGTCCGGGCTGTCTCTGGGTCGCATGGCCTCTTTCGCCTGCTGCTCGCGCAGCTTCCACCGGCATTCCAACATCTTCTCTGTCCGCATCGAGCAGCTATAACCACATGCTAAAGATCATGATATGAAACGCGCCTGCGGTATGCATCATGCCCCAGGACCACGCACAAGCCGGGGTTAGCGTAATAGTGAGTGGGGACGAATGATATATATGTCCCATCTGCCAGGGATCTGGCTAACCTTCCCTTTGGCAAGGCGACACCTGGTGCATGCCACTTTTGTCACATTCATCCTCCCTGCTGTCTTGGCTAGAGAAAGTCGTTTTATGTAACTATCGGTAAGGCCAACTTACATTAATTGTTACCGGTCATTGTGTCTGTACGTTCGCAGAGGAGATCAGCAAGAACCTCATCTGCTCGTCTCTCCGTCTCGCTGTCTTGGTGCGTATCCAGCACTTGGCCTGCATCCTCGAAGCCTCCAGCTGCTCTTACAAAAACTCAATATCTGCTTCATGATCCCCTTCGACATTTTGGTAACGTTCTAGAGCCCGGACGAACATCTGCTCCGCCTCCTGCATCCGCCCTTGAGTCTTGTAGAGCAGGCCGAGGTTATTGACGGCCCTGAGGGTCAAGACTTTGTCAAAGAGTGAGGAGGGTGAAGCCGATTCTGTAAGCTACTTGTAGAGTAATTTCGAAGTGTCACACTACTGGCACAAGTCGTGCCCTAATCTATCTCCACCCAGTCCTGACCACATCCTGAAAATGCCTAGGCGCACAAGTACAAACGTCCCTTTGCCTCTACCTCCAAAATGTGCTTTTTCACTTGGCAGCGTCTTCATACTCTTGGACAGCAGTGTCCGCGCTACCCTGCAAACAGTCTGCAGGCTCCCATGTGTCCTGCCAACGTACTCTATAGTACAGCTTTGATCTACGATGCCTACTATCTATAATTCGCTTTACAACCCATGTTGGTCCAGATGGATTACTCGCGGTTTCAGGTCTGGTGCTGGGCCTACAGTGCGATAGTAGATGTGCGCCATTGCTAATGGGACGCGAGCTCCTTTTCGTGCGAAGTCTCCGGTAAGGCTTCCACGGAGCTTCGCTTTCGCTGTCGTCGGTTTTAGCTGTGGCCAAGCATTCCGTCCGGCGATGTGCGCCGGACTGCAAAGACCTCTGCGGATGCGTCCTTGCAACTTCCTCGTGGTTTACGGCAACCGAATTGATGACTTCGGCGGATCGAGCACTATTTTCTGGCCAGGAAGGCGAACACCAAGAGCGAGCCTTGTGAATGGAAGCGGCTTCACACAATAGGTCATCAGTATTCTTGTGTGGTCGCTAGAGGGGGTCACTGTTGCTGCCATCGAAATCGGCCGACGGGACCCGGGTCGAGATTGGAAATCCGACAGAATGCTCATCGGTATCATCGCACGCCGTTAGGCTCGGCCAGCTTGTGGAGCGCGCAGAAGGCCGTCGATTCGATAGGTCGCGAGCAGGCACTCCGCCATCGGACCACGGCCCACAATTATCACCAGTCTCTCCAACAGAGGTAGACTCCGTGTCTTCGGGGCGAGAATGGATAATGGGCCCGGCGGATGAAATAAGAGCGCCGTAGAGCTTGTCCGTAGGCCCCAGCAGCTTGGCTACGCTACCTGGTGAACGAGAGGAATCGACCTGTAAGGGTGATGAACATGATGCTAAGCAGATTTCCTAAAGCCGCAAGAGTATTACTTACTGGTTCCACGGTTGACACAATTTTGGGCGTCGAGAACACGGCATCGGGGATCTGCACTGTCTCGTCGAGGAACGAACTGCGACTAGCCCCAGGTAGTGGTTGGGACGAACTGAGCTTCTGGCCGTGCAACGGTGCGATCATAGACGCTACACGAAGCTTCAGAGAGCCAGTGTCGATTTCTCCGCCGAAAGCTGTTGCTCATATGTCAGTGCGCTAAGGAAGACGTGTAGGCTCGGTTCTGATTGGTAGACGTACGGTCAATCGGCGGCTGGCAATGGCTCGATAAGCTGAACACGACTTCGCCAGGTCCGCTTTTCGAGGCGGGGATACGTTCAGACGTCTTACGTGCGGCCGACTGCAAAGGTGGGCCTTGATAAAAGACCATGTTGTCCAGCGATGCTGCAGAGGCTATTGGCATGGTCAAGGAGTTCGAGCTGTCAGTCTGCAGACTGCTCTCGAAGGTCCGGGAATTGTTGAGCACAGGGAAGTTGAAAGCAGAAGAGGTCCGCGGACGTAGTACGCTATATAGCTGCATCGCATTTACGATGTGCTCGCCTGCCGATTCCAGGCTTGCCCTTTCGAGAGAGAGCCGACTCGTAAGAATCCCAAAACGCTCATTGCCAATTCCAGTCTCGTTGAGGCGCTAGCAGCGTCGGTGCAAAGTCATGCGCATGCGTGCATGAGGGCCTAGCGTCCAGGCAACTCTTCAGAGCAGACCACCCGAAACACAAGACGGCGACCCTTGCCAGGATCATGCATCAATCAGATGGCGAAGCTGGCAGGCATGTAACTTGAATTGGCGCTCGTGTGGTACGGCGTCGCCGCAGCGGGGCTGCAGATGTCAGGAGCGGGTGTCACCGGCTCGCCACGGCAAGCATGGGCAGGTGATGAACGCTGAGATCGACGCCGCACGTCCAGGCGCCCAAGTTGCAATCCCGCGCAGCGAGGACACCGATCCATTGGCAGCTGGAGGGGGACTCCAGAAAAGGATCGCTCTGGGGCTCGCGCGGGCAATTTACTGGAGGAGGTCGGCGCAGCATGACCACCGCGCAGGCTGGCCATAACAGTCGTGGACGCTGCGTGCTCGTGGCGACGGCGATTTGGGATCGCCAGGCTCGGATCCTGCACCCTCCTGCCCACAGGACGCGTCAGCTGTGGAGGCGCAGCGTCGCGGGCGGTCGAAGGTTGCGATGCTCGCGGGCGGCAGGAGGTGCAGATGCATTGCGAGCAAAACGGGTCGAGGGAGTCGGGCGCGCGACGCAGGTGAGGTCGAGGTCGAGCGGGCCCCTCGCGCTTTTCACGACGCGGCCAGCGCTAGACCGATCCTGGAGAGCGCCTAGCCCGATCGGGCGAGCGCCCAAAGCGGGCGCAGTTTCGCCGTCGCCGTTCTTTATAATACAAGTCAGTGCTCCGTTATTCGGGCTCTGCTCGCTAGAGGCGTAAAGGCAGGGACGCTCAATCATAGATCTTATTGGCCAATAGATCTCGGAGGTGCCAAGACCACCTGTCTTGCCCGATAGCATTAGATAGAAGTCACATCGTTCATCTGCAGGGTCTGATCTAGAGACTTGCAAGGTCATATTGACCGCAGCACAGTTCGTCATTTGGACGGCTTCACCTTTCACGCCAGCGACTGTGAAATATCGTCCGGGGCCGAACTCGTACAGGCCTGAACACAACAATTTCACGGACCGGTTCGATTCTAGAGCTCTCTGAGCTTGACGATGCCAGAATTTGCAGACATAAAGACTTTGGGTGTCAAACTTGTGACGGAAATGTCCTTGACTGGTGAAGGTAGGCACCCGGCGCGCATCCAGAAGGTATGCGAAGATCTCCAGCTGTAATATGTTCGGTAGACCAAGCACAGCATTGTTTAAATCAACGGAATCCGTGGCCATCGTAGCTGCAGTGGTGGCTGACTCGGTCGCAGGCTCGAATTCGTACACGTAAAGTAGTAAGGAGAGGCTGGGAAAAGCGAAAGGTGTTGGCAAATCTGCACTGACGTCACATCTTCGTAGCAGACATCATTCCGGAGCTGCGCTTATATACTTGAAGTGGTATGACCTAGTCTCAAGGCGAGTTTGCGTGAGCAGATGTCCATATGTGCCATATCATGAGTCGCAGTCAGAAATGGCTGACCTAACATCATTCGATTTCTCTGATTGATCAGGGTTTCCTCCAAAGTCGGTCATTCGCAAAGAGTAGCGTCAGCTCTCACGCTCTCGCAAGGTACAAACCGCTCAAGCAGTAGATGACAAGGAATATGGAAGTGACGATGTCTACAATCTCAGATGTGCCGATGTGCCAGATATCATCAATTGGTGTAGTTGATCGCTTGTTCGACGGAGGCCGCTTACCGACGTACTAAATTCGAATGGGTTATGCCTCGAAACGACATCTCTAGGCTACACGTGTGACCTTGCTGCCCAGGTAACCTGTCCACCACTCCAGAGTTCCGTGAATGAGCGTTGCCCTGCTTTCGATTGCGGCACTTCCTTCGTTCATCCAAGCCTTGTTAAGCAGGTATACTCTTGCTATTCCGGCATCCTTCCGATTTACGAGCACCCAATCAGCAGGGGTAAAGACCAGCGGATTGTAACCCGAGGCATTCACTGCAGCCCTCGTACATTGAAGTTATCTTACAGCGTACTAACTACCGTGCCGGCGTCAGACGACGCCTTGCGTGCGTTGTCGGTCCTCATCCGTCTTCTTTCTGCTCATTCTGGCGGCACGTGAGGTGAGATGCTCGCTCTCGCTCATCGGACCACTTCTCTTCGAAGTCTTGGCTGAAGCTCTTTTCACAATCCTCTTTCGCACTTTCGGCGGTAGGGGGGTTGCCTGATGTGCTATTCTCGCGCTTCGGCGGCATGATCTGTGCGGTTGCGAAGAAACACACCAAGAGACTGGTATTGTCAAGCTCTTGTACTGTACCACCAGACTCTGTGATGTTCACGGGGGCACTCAATGAAGCCTGGGCTGCATTAAAAGTTACGATTGCCAGGCCAAGGCATGGAAAGCGCAAGCGCAGTCGCTGTGGAGCCGCCGATCTGCAGCAACAGTTCAAACAATCAAAGCTCACCAATGAAGATGATTTCGATGGAAGCAAACCATGCGACAAACACGCGGATAGCGATGTTGAATGGAGACCGGCTGCGTACGGCAACGGCAGCGGCAGCGGCAGCGACGTGCGGTCCGAGCCACTCCACCAGCGTCTTGCCTTCTGATACTGCGCTCCAGTCTGGCAGGTTCGATGATCAACGACGTTGCTCGGTATAAGCGTCTCGACATCTGACAACACGAAAGAGCAAGGGGAATTACAGCTCCTACTCAGCCAAGCCATACCTCCAACATTATCAGTCGCCCCTCACCAACCACCTTGTGCGAGATCTAATGCCTGCCTTCTCGCGCTACGATCTTTGGTGCGCTTCTGTCTCCACGAAGTGGAGATGAACATATCCTGTGCCACGCCGACCCCTTTCCTCACCCAGTAGATGTATTTCATAATTCAGCACTAATCCTCCCAGTAGTCGGGAATTCCACTCTTCAATCTCCACTTCGTCCGCACAAGTCTCTGCTGGTTCTGACAGGTTCCAGTTATAGCACTTTCGAGTGTCATACGCTCATTCCTTTGATATACGCTACAGTCGGTAGTTCGCAGAGACGTTATTAAAATTTCCGGGGAGAGGGGCAAGGCTTGGCGTCACTAAGGCTCTTGGCACCACGGTTCATAAAACGGTTTGATACTCCCCATCATTAAGGCTGCAATGGGGCCCTATTGGTGGTGTCATGGTGGTATAACGTGAGGTGGTAAGAGTTACCCAGCGCCCCGCATTAAGCGCGCGCGTGCTCTTCCTGCTGGCTGTCAGTGGCTCGCTCAAGCTCCTGTCATGGCGGGATTTAATCTTCTCCGCACATAAATGACCTCGGCTGAATGTCCAACAAGGCGTACCCAGGCCGGTTTTTCAGGGATTTATGAAAAGCGCAATCGAGATTCTTAAGTCACCCGCGCCCCATTTCAGGCTCGTCTGATTCACTTTTCCGATCACTGAGTGTTGACCAATCGTTCAATTTCGATAGAAGATTTCTGGCTGCAACAATGCTGCTCCCTCCGTCACTCTCAAGGTACGCCGCAACGTTGCGCTCCCTCAGCCGCCTACACGCCAACCGCCGTCGGGAGGAGACTAACAACAGTTTGTCCGCATGTCTGCTCGATGTTGTCCTGCGCACTTGGGATCTGGGCTTCACAGCCTTTGGTGGCCCACCAGTGCATTTTCGGATCTTCCATCGTCGCTTCGTCGAGGGATTGGGAGGGAAGGAGAGATGGGTCGATGAGCAGACGGCCTTTCCTCCCAAATAATACTCATACAGATGCCGAGTTTTATTGCTGATATGGTGAATGCAGTATCAAGAGCTGTTCGCGATCTGTCAAGGTCTCCCCGGTCCCGGCAGTACCAAGATGCTGTTCTGCTTGGTAATGTTGCACGCCGGGTTCATTCCGGCACTGGTGGCTTTCTTAATATGGTGGTACGAATCATTTGTACTTCGAAGCCGACGCATTGTCACCGCTGACGAGTCAGTCTTCCCGGTGCGATCAGCATGTACGCCCTCTCTATCGGTGTGCAGAGCATCGGCCAGTCTCTCCCGTTACCCGTCTACGCCTTGCTGTCCGGACTCAACGCTTCCACTGTCGGTATCATTGCGCTCGCTGGCGTACAGCTCGCCGAAAAGGCGATCGGCGACCGATTGACTCGCATCCTCGTCATCTTCGGTGCCTGCGCCGGGCTCTGCTACAACACGCTGTGGTACTTTCCTACCCTGATGGTGATTGGTGGTTCGGCGACAGCCATCTGGGACGGATGGATGGCGCAGCATTTGCGAAAGCTCAAGATCCACTGGGAGCAACGTCAGGAGAGACCTGCCGTGGCCGATGTTCAAATTGAGTCTGGCTCGCCCAACGGTCAGCAGAATATTCCATTAGCGGAGAGAACTGTGCAGAGTGGAACAGCCGAGACTCAGAGGGCCGTCGTCCAGGCCAACGATCAGTTCGCCGAAGACTCGACGATGAGGGCGCGCAAGGCCGGCCCGTCGTCCAAGACTCTCTCAGAGAATACCGCGGACGTGGCCGAGTCCACGCCTCGGCAGCACTCGGTCGTGGCGGACAGCAACGTCCAGCCAGGCCAGGATCATCTCATCAGCATCCGCAAGGGCATCTTCACTACCATCGTATTCTTCGGTCAGTCCCACATTCTTACTCAGTAATTCGCTGTATTCCATCTCTAACTAAGGGTTCAGCTTCCTTCATCGCTGTCCTTGTTGCTCGCGATGCACTTCACCCGGCACCGCTGATCCTGGATCTCTTCGCCAACATGTACTTGGCCGGCACCATCATCTTCGGCGGTGGCCCCGTCGTTATCCCCTTGCTGCGCTCCTACGTCGTTGACCGCGGATGGGTATCCGGCCGAGACTTTCTGATCGGTCTCGCCTTGATCCAATCGTTCCCGGGCCCGAATTTTAACTTCGCTGTATTCCTCGGCGCGTTGGCTCTGCAAAAGTCGCGCTTTCCGACGGTTTTCGGCGCCTTCCTTGGCGGTCTCGGTATCTTCCTCCCCGGGATCACCCTCGCGGTCGCTGTGCAGAGCTTCTGGGGCGTATTGCGCAAGCGGAAATGGGTGGTTGATTTTCTGAGGGGCGTCAACGCCACGGCTGTGGGGCTCGTTTTTACGGCGGTCTATCGTCTGTAGGAAATTGGGTATGTCACCCCGAAAGCAACGAGTGGTCAGTCCTTGGCCAAGGATCCGTGGTGGGTGGTTGTGGCCGCCTTGGCCTATGGAGAAAGTGCCTGGTTCAACGTGCCTCCGGCGGGGGCTCTTGTTTTTGGTGCGATTCTGGGCATGATCTGGTATGGAGTGGTGGGAGCCAATCATTTGTCTTTGGCGTGACCTACGGATGGGCCGTAGGGAGTTCGAGGACCTGACCAATAATGAGACGCTGCTATAATCACTAAGAGGTGAAAGTTAGGTTACACTTCTAAAAATCTATTTTACTGGGTCGTTAGTTTTTATTCAGTTGCAGAGACCGTCTCTAGTTCTAAACTCAGTTTTAGAGTAGGTCAGAGAGCATGAGGATCAAACTCTTACGAAGGAGACTGATATGTCCTAGGAGACTGCAAGGAGACGGTGCCAATGTTTGACTACCGTGCCATGAAGTAAGCGACGTGCGACCGCGGAAAGCTTCTGCCTACACTTCCAGCATCCAAGACGACGACACAGAGCCGACGCCTCCGGTAGCTCGAGTCAGACTCCAAAGTACCAGCTAAGTGATGACTGTGGGTTTCTTTGACTGTGCAGAGCAGACGTTGATTGAATATGGCGGTGATGAAGGATCTGCCTCTTGATCTCTTAAAGTGGAAGCATCGTATGCCCGATTTGAGCAATGCTTTGTTGGCTGCCGTAATTGTGGCATACTCAAATACTATCGGCTAGTTTTAGGGAGCATCTCGCTTGATCTTCAACAAACGTGATGAGCTGTATTTGACTCTCTGCGTGGTGAAGAGCCGTGCAAGTCCATATGAAGATACAATACACTCTGCACCTGCTACCGTTTAGGCTGCATATGTGGCCACCAACGGGAGATGGGAACCACCTACCCGTTGGGTGCGCTCAGCGGGGCAATATGCCCAGACCTCCGCCACTCCCCTTCCCTCCGTGTAGCCAATTAGTAGATGCATTGCACTGACCGTTCTCTCGAAGTACTACGCCATCGAAGCCCTCGAGATGTAGTACTACATAATCTCCTTCAGCTATCTGGCAAATCTGACAATAGTACTACAATCATGGTCAGTGCCTTATCTGCTTAAAACAGGGATGCTCAGTCTGCTAATCAAAGATGACGATAACGAGAAACGAAAGGAAAGCACGAAACGCTGTGCTCGCTGCTCTTGTACAACGTATGTCTTGGGTTTCGCTAAACGTGACCATCAGTATTGGAGCTGAAGCATCTCGAAGCGCTCCACAGGATAGAGCGGGCGGCGTAAATCGAACAATTCGGACCACGTTCACCTCCTCGCCGATAATAAAAGTCAGTGACGACCAACAAAGGAAGGTATCGCTAAGAAGTGGCGCTCACAAAGATCTGACTCGCTACTTTATACGGTCGTCTAGTTGCTATTCTCTATAACACCATCGTGGCAAGACCAAGCTGCCTATGAACGATCCCAACAAGCGGTTATGCACACGGCTCCTTGACGCCAGTTTTGATCAACCACCAATTAATCGGCACTCCAGTCCAATGCCCAAGGAACATCCCAATCTGCACGGCTTCTCGTCAGCGTTATGTCACAAGTACAATTCATCAGGTGAAGCGAGCTAAATACCTGCATCATGAACCAGTACGTGACCGTACCCATCTGGAGCCTCCAGTGGAAAATCGCAGCCTGGAAGATAGCCATCCAGCCGAAGAGGCCGATTTCGAAAAACAGTAAGGAGAAGAAATCGGCCTTCGCTGCACGGTAAAAGATCTTCGGTCCGTATTCGCCCGCCATAGGAGCGATGGAAAAGTATTGGAAGACGACGCCGATGACAATGGCGAAGGCGAAATCTAAGAAGGCAAACGTTAGCAGGACCAATTGAAAGCTAGCAATGAGCCGGAATGCGCACCGATCAAGTATTCCACCCAGAGAGTTCTCCCATTGATGGTGGCGTTTGCCCCGTAAACAATCCACTCGCCGATGATGTCGCCAAGAACGCAACCGGCGCCGCAGTGACATACGGCGACGGTGACGGTCGCGAACATGGGTCTCTCGGTACCGCCTCCGTAATGATGGCTGTGGCCGCCATGCTCATTGCCGTCGCCATGTTCGTCATCTCTGTCCCCATGATCACCATGTTCGTGGCCACTGTGTCCATGGTTGGAGGCGGAATCAGGATCGTGAGACGATGAGAAGCCTTCTCCACCCGATGGAGTGTCTTCGGGCCTCACGGGGTCCTCGTGATCGTTGGAACCGCCGACGGTGGAGTGTTCCTTGTCGGCTTCCCCGCCACCACCCGCGTGTGGAGGGTGGTGTGCGCAATGTGAGGGCATGCTCTGCCCCCTCTGCCGCTTCGGTGGGCGGCCAAAGTTGAGGTACGTCCAGAGGGTGATAGGCCATAGGTACAGCGCGTTGATGACATAGACGGGAATCCTATGCAGAAAGCACGTTAGCGATGCACCAGTCCGGGAAAGTCCGACAGGGGACTTGCATAACGGCCATCATGGACTTCCATCCTCTACGAAGAATAATATCGATCAGGACCCAGAGGGCAACGAGCGCCGCGATGCCGATGGAGATGGAAGACACGATGGTGAGCGCCAACGGCGGCGTATACGAAGACGTAGCCTGCGTTCCGGCCATGGCGTGGATGGTCGTCGGTCAACACGGTTCAGTTGGCGGGTGATACTGGCGCAGTCGGATGGTTCAATCGATAGGTGTGGCCCAGGTAAATGGCATTCGTGCCGATTCCGACTATTTTATGAGACCAACACCCGAAAGGTTTTTCATCGTGCCGTGGTGAGTTCTGTTGATCCATCATCATCACGGGGGGCAAATGCTACGCGAAAACGCAGAAGTTGCTCATGGCGCACAAATTGCGCGACCTCCATGTACGCCAATGGTAACGTCACGACGACATTTACCGCGGACTCGTCCGGTGCCAAGCCATTCCGCACAAAAGCCGCACCAACGCTGTGTGACGCTTGCCAAGCGCTTCCTGTTTCAGAATGGTGCCAAACACAGCACCAATCACATCTCATCCCAGCGTGAAGCACAGTTCACTGTCGCGAGTGTTTCAAAGTGCGCAAAGGCAGTCCCAACGCAGCGTCTCCCATATACTGCGCGGCATTCATTGTGTAAGTAATCAGTGTTCACATAATCTTCCCGAACGTCCACAATCACGTGTCCGACTGTCAGTCTCTGAGTCGTCAGAAAGAAAGAAACTCACCAAGATGCTGTTGCAGATCATCCTCGAATTATTATTGTCGTACGCAGTGCAGATCACAACGGCCGCCAGACGTTCCTACAACTTAACCCTCCATAGCGGACTCAGGGTGCCCGGTACGCACATGTTGCGTTGGATCGGACTGCTCGCCTGTTGTGACGACACGAACTGACAACCAGCGTCTCTATGGCTATAGAACGCACACCCTGCATCCCAGCCATCCTTCACCACGAACTTACATCTCTCTGCCAAAGGGGCACGACATTTTTTCATCCCAATTCGTACAACCGGCCAAGACGTTGACTCACACGCCAAATCGTGCTAATGAGTGTTGATCGTGGCTCTCCACTCAAGCATGGCTTACCACGAACTTGATCTCGAAGTCAAAAGGGCACGGCATTCCTCCATCCCAGCTCACACAACCAAGCACGATCTCGACTCACACACGGAGTCGCCCTATCACCCCTAGCAAGACGAGATGGGTAGAAGAGTATTGAAGAGAAGAGTGGTCACATCACCGTCATTTTTCGAGAAAACCGCCGAGGAACCCGCTATAGCTGAGCATGCCTACCTACAAGGCGACGACGGCTCTGTGCCGTGCCAGTCTCTTCCGATACGTACAGGGTCAAAGGACGTATGTAACCACTCAGAATCAAGGGACAACATTGCAGATCTATCCGCAGAGACTAGTACACCGTCCGTGGACTTGGACGTAGTCACGGCACCTGACGGTCTCCCAGGAGGTCCACTCGATGCTATCGAGAAATCTGGTCTGATATGGTCTGCGACGGCTTCCGAAATTGCCGCTTCTGCGCCTGACACCATCCAGACAATTGGTCTACAAGATGAGGCATCCGATACGACCGTCGAGGTGGCGTTCCCGACGCAGGAAATCGAAGTCGATCTTAACTGGTACACCCTACTCACGTTAGGCCAAGGGAACAGCGCAGTCAAGCTGCGCGTTCAGAGTCACATTGTCGGGGTGGCGTCGGCAGTGCTGGCAGAGAAGAGTCGAGTCCGGTCTTGGTTGAGTCTGAAAGCCGGCCAGCTTCATCATCTCGAGTTAGCCGGCGAGCTGGCTTGTACAGCTCAAGCCATGAAGACCATATGTAACGCGATCCACTTCCGTTCTAACATGGATCACGTTGTGCATGGGGCTCGCGAATTGGTGCAAATCGGTGTAGTGAGCAAGAAGTACGAATTCACGAACGCGCTACGACCATGGAGTGCACATTGGCTCCGTCAAGCGCGTAAGACAGCCTCACTCCCAGACCTTCAGGAGCTGTTGGAAGCGGCACGAATGTTAGACGCGTACGAAGAGTACTCACGAATCTCCTTCGACTTGATTCAACTATCAAGGAGATAACGGCCGTCGTAAGATAAGGATGGCGGCTATCAACCTGCGAGAGTGAGACGGTTTAATTGGCTGGTTGGTGTATGTCAAGTGTTCTGTCCTCTGGCTTCACGGCACCGCGAATCCGGTGTACAGCGTCTCGAACGCGGAGCAGGAGATCAAAATGTTCGTCAACAGCCCAGATGCGCAACTCAAAGTGGTCGAAGGCAGACAGCACTTCCTCAACTTCAGCCATCGCAAAGAGGTAGACAGTGCTTTGATCGAGTTCCTTGGCAAGTATGGTAAGTAGATTGGCCTGATGCGACGGGGAATTGGATCGCTTATGTGTTCAGGACGTCTATGCTTAGCATTAGGTAGATTTATGTTATACCTCTTCGCCATTGCAGCATTGGATCATGTAAACGTATATCGTACAATATCAGGGTATCAAATGTCGTCGATCAGCAGATGTCCGTCCAACGCCTCGCCAAAAGTACGCGTGCTGTGGATGGCGCGCAGATATGGACTGAAAATACTTTCAAAACTCTCAATGAATTGAACTCATCACGCTCCAGAGTCAATCTGGTCGACCGGCCCGTTGTTCTCAGAGTACCAGTCCCAGTCAACACACGCCTCGTCAATAAGACCGTTAGGTATCGGGAGAATCTCGTCGTATTTGTAGGCGATGTTCATGCCGTGACCGCCGCTCAGGTGCCAGGCGAGGTGATAGTGGAAAGGCCAGACACCGGGGTTGTCGAGCTCGAACTGTATTGCGGTGAAGCCATAGGGCGGAATGAGAACGGTATCGCAGCGCATGGGGTTAGTTGGATTGACGACGCTGCCGTCCAATGTTGCGCCGTTGAAACATCGGGTCTAACTTGCCTCTTCGTGACTTTGTTCGAGCCGACCGTCGAGGTGTCTCCGACGTTTAGTATGTAGAAGTTGTGGCCGTGGAGATGGAACGGATACGTCAGCGGCATGTTGTTGGTGATGTTGGGGATGTTGGGGATGATCGACGTGTTGTCGAAGAAGTAATAGACGTTAGGCTGGCCAAGAAACTTTTAGACGATGTTGTTGTCGTCTACCACTACTTGTCTCACGATAGTTGGAAAATGTGCACAGCGTTCGTTTGAAAGATAGGGACTTCGTAGACGTACTTTGGTTAATTGTATGACTGTCTCGCATGTATCACATGACGTCTAAAGTCATGAAGGCCGACATCATAGCGTCTTTTCCCTCCGACGCGTTATCGTGTCTTCCATTCCAAGTAGCTTCTCCCCGTGAATCAGTCGCCGAGAAACCACTCCACATGTTACCGAGGATGACGCACCAGTGCTCGTTGTCGCATCTTCCATCGTGGCGCGAAGCTCCTGGACCTGTCTCGAGTTATTGGCGCGATTTGAGACTATTCCGTGGAGCGTTGTCGAATTCATCAACGCCCCTCAGTGCTCTCCGACTCGGCGACGGCGAGGTCTTGACAGACCATTTCATCGGTCCACACACTGGATTTGGCTTTGAGCTTGGTGCAATATCTTACTTGTAGAGTACCAGAGCTGCGACCGGGGAAGAAATCGGCGATTTGCTTCCACTTGAGATGCTTCGTCTCTTTGAGCTCGACGAGGAGCGCATCATCTTTGGAAGTAAACTTCAGCTTCGGGGCCTTCTGCGGGGCGGCTGCATCGGGCATGCCAGGCTGCCCGACTACACTTGGAGGGCCATCCTCTTCGGCAGATGAAGTATCCTCGCCGTACCGTGCGCGCTGCGCTTTCCGGGCACGCGGCAGGTAGGGCAGACTATGGTGGTGATACTGTGATTGTGAAGGTAAGGTGTGGAACACCTGTCCTGGTTTCGCATGCTGCGGAAACGCATACTGAGATCGGACGTGATGAGAAAGAGCACCAGGTTGCAATTGAACATATTGAGAAAGTGGTGTGAGCTCGTCAGGAATCGCAGTACCAGCACTGCCAACATCTGCCCGAAGTTGCTGCGGATGAGAACAATCGTACCCAAAGGCCTTGGGGTGGCTCCGCCTGCGCGATGGTTGCGATGTCTGCTCGCACCGGAGGCTCCTTAGGTTCTTACAGCCGCTCCAACAGAGCGAAGAAGACACTTGCACCGTCTGTGTCTGCATCTGAGGGGACAGGATCTGAGCTTGAATAGGTTCAAGGGACGGCTCCGATGCAAATATTTGCGACAGCAGCAACGGTGCAATGGTCTGTTGATGGAAGCCTTGCGGTTGTGGTTGCGCCTGCGCTAGAATTTGAGGGTTCGGGGGCTGAAAGTCCCATGTGAGCAGCTGCTCATACTCGCCACTGGTCGTCTGTGTGGGCATAGTTTCATGGCCTTTGGCTCCATCGTCGAAAGTGTAGGCTTGATACGGTTGCATCAAAGTTGCGAATGGCCGTTTGGACTGCCAGAGGTCCATGCTCAGGTCAAAGCCAGTTTGCGGAAGGGTTTTGCCAAAACCAGTGAAACGAGCATGGCGCATAGAATAGCGATAAAGACGAGGAATTAGAGCGTCCGTTACACAAGCCTGGGCGCTCGTTGTGAGTCAAATGGATTCAACGAAGAGCGAGAGTTGGACGAGAAGGAAATTCTGACAATACATAACCTCCACCAGATGTGTTTTGGTCTTCGCACGCGGGACAACATGAAGTCAAAAGTCTAGAGGGTCCTAACTAGCGCGTAAGACAAGCAGAGCAGCTCAAGGTACCCTAGTGTTGTACCGAGCGCAACTGCATACTCGGCCGTAAAATGTTGGCATTGCGATTATTCAGCGGAAGCACATCACGCACTACTGCAAATGCGGTGTGCAACTGAGTTCCCCTCGGACGAGCACAGCTGCAGATCTGCATGCATTGATCGCCGTACCACTTTACTGTAAGTATTGTTTGACGAGCGCAAGGGCAGGAATGGATCTTTGCGGCGCTAAGGAACGCAGTCCTTAATTCCAGAGTCAGTGTCTGCAGCAACAAGGAGCCTGATCTAATGCTTTCTATTTGCAGATACTTAGGACTACCAACCGGCGATCAAAGCGGCTACATTGATCACTTGCTAACTACCAGCACTGATCGGCATCTGAAAGGTTTTCCCAGTCTTCTAACTTTCCTGCCGGCCCAACATAGGTGGGGAGAGTTCCCGGCAGCAGGGAGAAAAGGAGTCACGAATCTCGATTCGCGGAATAGAGGAGCCAAGCGGCAGTGAGCTTTCGACAAGCAAGTCAATGCGGGTTCACGATGTCGGCCTTCGCGTTGACAGCACCTTAGCTGGTTAAGAAGCCACATATAGCTTCAGCCAGGTAATGTCAGCTCCCTCATCTTATGCCAGTACTGCTAGGAGACGACTCTTGAATACCAATCGCGCAAGCAGCCTTATGGCTTGTTGAACTGTTCCGTAAGGAACACAGCTTTCACTTTGAACTCACATGTCTTCGCCCATTCACTACATCTTTTAGACGGGTGGCACCATTGTATCTGACTGACAGATTGGCGGAAAAGCTCTACTATGGTTTTTAGACACCTGAGCGCAAACCTTCTTTACCCCTCGGTTTTCATCTACAACGTCACGAAACTGCCAACAGAAGTTAGGAGTTGGTCGAGATTATGACGAGGCAGCACGACCACTTTCTGGTGTCTCTGCTTTAATCACACTCTCACGGGCTGATCTGATTATCCTCTGAGAGGTAGACGATAAGTGCAGATAGCACGAGGTAGCACTATAGTAGCACTTTTGCTTTTCCCTGTGGAAACTATTTTGCCACATAAGTGCCCCCGATGCTGCTGGTAAACCTGAGGCGTGATGATCGAGCAATATTGCAGCTACACGTCATGATGATGTTTCCTGCTGACTCTCTTGGGATCGGTATATCCCGGCTGTCAGCAGGTAAATGTATCAATATTACAGAAATGCCATTGGGATACGTAGGAGACTATCTCTTGTCCGATAATCTTCCTAGCGGAGCATACAGAATTAGAACAAATAACGTTTGGGGTCGACCTACCGCCCGCCTTGAGATCGTCGTATATGCTGCCGGAATGTGGGGCGTTGCATCATCTAGACTGATGGGACAGCAACATCCCTCGGCAAGTGCATCAGCATTCATATGCTCGACTTTAATTCATTTGCAGGCAACGTAATGGCTGAAAGCCGGACGACTCGAATCAGCCAAGCAATATGTCTTCAATATCACCTCACACAGTGGCCGAAATGGAGTGCAAGATGGAGTTACTTCTTGCGCTGCTCGATACACACCTTGCGCTTCAGAGCCCCCATATGGGCATGGATGCTCTATATGCCGGTACAACCTTGCATCGAATTGGTACGACAACAACGGCGAATAGCATTCGTACGAATGATCTGTGTTCTCACTAGAAATCGTCTTGTTGACAGAAAGCTCCAGCAGCCATCTATATGCCAATCAATACGGAACAAGGACTTTCATCCAATCGCAAACACGGGCAGCATGAAGAACTCCAGGAACAGAATCGACTCGTTATGATAGACCTCTTGGCCGACGAGTACACTTTTATGCTGCGAGCTGTCATCTAAGTGCTGTCCATGTCCACCTGCTGCAGCGATACCAGACCATGTACTTCGAACACATGGCGCTGCACCAGAAAGTTACCTTGCTTCATTCTCTCCTGCAGCCAGGCTCAGGACATATCTCGACTTTTCGCAAATACTCAGGTTTCGTGAACGGCGGCCTCTTGAATAGATGAGAGCTGGGATGAGGTATGCTGAGAGTGATAGCTGGCGTACAAGAGTGAGTGTTGTGGGAGAAGCAAGTCCGAATGCGAAATAATGTGAATCAGGGTCTTGCGGCTTCGCCACTTCCGTTCCCACCTAATACAGGCTGTGCTGGGGCATGTATAAAGACATGCAACCCTCAAACATAATATCACAAGTGAAGTCTCTGCGGTACCGTAAATCATCAGATCTCTTGCTGAAGCGTCGATGAATAATTTGTTTACGATGTGCCAGAACGACAGCGATACCTGCAACCAGATTTTCGAGAGCTCAAAAAGCCCAGGCCAACATGACAGGCAATTCTCATATCCGTCATCGGAGAAACTCATGGTTCCGAGTCTGTCGAGCTGGGCGTCTTAGACGAGCATCCCCAAGCCTTGAATGCAACCACACCAATTCAATTCCGAAGCTCATCAGCGTTCTTGGCTCCTGCTCTTCAGGTCACAATGGCTGCGCTTCGTCCCTCATCGATGAATCAGAGTACTGTGCAACTGGCCATTGTCTCCTTCCGCCTGGCTGCCCAGTTGACATCGACGAACGCCAACGGTCCTATAGAGGAGCGCAGCATTGGAGACCAGAGCCTCACAGAAATCATCGACCACGGGCTAGACCAAGCCCTGCCGTCCTTCGAGTGGCAAGGCGAAACAAACCCGTTTGGGATGGTTCAGTACCTGACGGCCTTACGGAAGAAGGCACAACGAAATGCTCAGATTAGATACAAATTCATCAATCATGGACCTGAGGTCGCAGCCGTCGGCCAAATCCACTTTGAAGAGTGTCGCACGAAATCATTGCGGATCTGCAACGCTATCCCGTGGACGTTTGGGGAGAGTGGGCAGCCACATTCTGTGTTCAAGTCTATCCTAGATCGAAACAACAGAGTCGTGATTCTGAAGTATCTCACAACAAGAATTCGTGCGGAAGAGATGAGCAGGGCGAGGATCGTTTATGCCCGTCATCGGACGTTCCTGTAGAGCCACGTGAAGACACTGAGCTGTCCCCGGTCTTCGCGTTCGTCTAAACTCACAGATTGACAGTCTCGTCCGTTTGCTAGAGATGCAGATTAAGATGGTATAACACGTCATCCGGACAACGCAACCTGTGATAGCTGTAATTGTGCTGTGCACTATTTATATGCACACGGTTATGATAATGACTGCTTTGCCGAGTTCACATCCTCCAACTTCGGAAACCGGCAGAAACAAACATTCCCGTATTCGTACCAACCAGTCAAACATCCTTCCGCACGTGCATCACAGGACCTTCGTACTCGCGCCTGCCCCTGACGAAGTAATATGTAGCTGCAAAAAATATGGCGATACCATAGATAAGGACAACCCAGTTCATCGCCGCAGGTCCTGGGTTCGGTGCTGGAGGAAAGAACAAAAAGAGAAATGCTACAAGGAGGAAGCAGATCGCTATAAGGTTGACAATCCATCCGAGAATGCCGAGGTTGAATCGTGATGCGGGAAAGCTCTCTCGACGAAGCCGCTTCGCAAGCATTGTGCCAATGACGATGAGGTAGGATGTGAACAGGCCCGTCGCAGACACGGAGAGGATAATGTTGAAGGCTGTGGTTGAGCCAATTATGATGAGTGCTAAAAGGCAGGTGACAGAGAAAGTCACGTATACCGAGTTGGCCGGAACACCATTTGGCCGGACCTTGGACAAAAAGCGATGGAACGGCAATCCCTTGTCGCGAGCGAAGGCGAATATCTGGCGTGAAGATGTAGTGACTTGATTGACAGCACAGAAAAAGTACTACTCTAACGATCAGCCTATCTCTGCCTCCCGGACTTTTCTCATTTATCCGTACCATGACGATCATGACAACAATAAGCACGATAGTGGCAGCCTTGGAACGCGTAATCTTTTGAATGACTGCCGCCCAGGGTTGGCCAGTCGCAGAGGTGAGGTCGTCATCCAAGTCACCAAGGTTGAACATCAGGGTGATGGTCATGACGAAGCCAAGACCGTAGTTGACGATTGCGGATGCGCACATCGCCCTAGGAAGCACGTAACTAGCATCTTCGAGTTCCTCAGAGAGATGGACAGCAGAGTCGGAGCCTAGGTATGTTGTTGTCGGGCCAATCATACCGACCAGTGTTGCAAGTCCGATATTATCCCAGTCATTTCCATCCGTAAACTGCGTAAATGTTGCTTTTGAGAACCGTTTTCGTCACAAGATGAATCCCTGAACGTGGGCTAGCAACAGCAGCCCATGGCTCGTCGTAATAAAGGTGTAACGCATGACGCTTCCACGCTTTCTCCAAGCAGAGCTCTCGTCCTTACCCTCACTCGCCTTGTCGCTGTGCTCCCAGCCAAGCCTTGGGCGCCGACTAGCATTCTAGACCTCATGCGAACGCGGGATCGGGCAAAGAGATCGGGCCAAAGGGTGAGCTCGACAGATTGCACAGGGAGAATGCACTTCTATGGTAGCAAGTCAGCGCTGCGAAGAAGTAATCAACCAGAATCACGGATGTCTCGTCTACTATAAATGGCAAATGTGGTAAATCTTCGATTGGATCCCGGAACGATGCCCGAGGAGACAAGAAGGGGCAAAAAGTCCGGCGGAGGCTGTGCCATAAACAGCACATTGGCTATACCGCAACATGAAAGCTTGTAGCGGGACTGGACGAAGATTCACTCTCAAAACGTCTGATCATGAAGGAGAGAAATTTTCCTTCTTTCCGGTTTGCTGCCTCACGGCACTAAAGATCTTCCCTAAAAGAGTGTCTAATGTCTCCAAAGTTTTTTTCTCAAATGACCGTTCAATCCAACCCTCATGTATCTGTCAACCTTCCATCCAACAGGACGACTATATACCACTCACACCCTTCTTGTCCAACTTTGCTGTGACGTCACTACAATATTCCGTTAACAGCCATCCCAACGAAGCAAGGTGCAGGAAAAGTGCAGATCCAAGCACATCCCTATCCTCCACAACATGACAAGTTTGTCGTACAACGTGGGGGGTCCCAAAAACTCACGATGTTGATAAGAGAATGGACCGCTAAAACACGCCGGTGGGCAAAGCAAGAAGGCTATTGCCAGTAGATGGCAACCCCGAAACCAACCCGGTCGGCAATCCAAGTTGGGTAAGCAGCGATGTCAAATCGATAAAAGAGATTTCGATGTTATTGCCATTGAGAATAGCCAGATTCAACAACTGCGAGCAATCGAGAATGGAAATGCCGGAATTGTTGCACTGGTTCAGGAATTGCTGTCCGTTGGTGACTGGATTAGAACCTGGGCTCGAAGTGCCTCCGCCGACTGCAAGGCTGTTACCGTTCAACGCAGCAATATTGAGTAGCTGCGCACAGTCGGCGACTGAGACTCCGGTATTGGTGCACTGGTTCGTAAAGATCTGTCCGTTGTTAATTGTGGGCGTAGCAGTGGCGGCAGAGCTAGTAGTAGTCATCGATGTCAGAGTAGATGTCGTGCTCGTCTTCGATGTAGAACTGGAGGTCGGCGTGGTCTTGGTGGACGTCGTGCTCGTCTTCGATGTAGAACTGGAGGTCGGCGTGGTCTTGGAGGAAGTAGCCGTGGATGTGGCGGACGTCGTGCATTGACCAGACTGGACACATGCACTTTTCTGGGGACAATAAACCCCGCCGTTTGGACAACATGAACACATGTTGCCATTTTGAGCAGCGTTGGAAGCGCACTGTCCAACATTCTTGAATCCGCACTGCGCATAATTGTCTTGACAGAATTGGGCACAGCCGTTATTCCCCTGGGGCAATGCAATAGCAACGTTGGTGACTGTGGCAGTAGTCAGTCCTGATTGGCCAACGGAACACGACGTGCGTTCTTGTGCAAAACCCACCCGCTATTAGAAGCGCAACATATCTGATCATGGCTGCCATGATGGATTATAGCTTGACCTGAGCTGGGATTCTCTCGAGAGTGGATGAAAGTGATGTCGGTTATGACCTACGTATGCGACGTTTCGAAGATGAGGTAAAGTCCTATTGAGATACAGAAGGCAACTCTTTATAACATGCCAACTAAGCCTCCAATTTGTCATGACGGCGAGATAGCTACAGCCTTAAGTTACTTATGCAGGCTCGTACTCCTTGGCGACAACGCATATCAGCCTTTCAGGGGCTGGTTGGCTTGGAATCATGTCCAATGTCATATTCAGTAAAGTCAGACGGCATCGATCATGTTAGGACGGGAGCCGCATCAGCTTGTCGCAGACTAGGAAGGGTGCTACAAGCTTAACGACTTACACAAGATCTGGGAAGTATTATCACCATCTTATACGCCTCGAGAGCAAGATTACAGAGTTGCCCCCCGTATCTGGAGCTCTACGACTGGCGAGGTGCAGCTACTGGAAGACTCAATAGGTTAGCTTCTAGGGCCGTAGAACATTACACGAGATTGGTCGCTGTTACTTAGTTGACGCTTGTGTTATGCTGTTGCATTTGATTTCCAGTTATCCTCTCTCCGAATATGTTACGATGTATTTACTTACCCTGAGGTAGAAATTAGCTCTCGGCGCAAGCGGGGAAGTGGGACGAAGCGTCACCTATAGATCGGCACTTATTCTAGAACACACGGCTCAAAAAGTAAGCCGTATGACGGTCAACCACTCCAGTAACTTTTAGGTAAGAAACAGAGTCAAACACTTCAACCTTCATAGTCCCAGCTAATTGTCTTTACATAATGGCAGAAGAATGGTGCGGGATTCTCTAGAGACCTTGGTGACACTAGGACGGGACCATTGACGGACAAGATCATTTAGGGACGGGACCAGGACTCTGGGATGGGACCATTTACGAAGGGGATCATCCAGGGGCGGGACCAGAGAGAGACGAAAAAGGACAAGTGGATGCGCAGCTAGAACTGCTGTTAGGGACCTGTCCACTGCGGAGCTGCAGAGGCAACGTCGGCGAGCATCAAGCTGAAAAGTAATGATCTGTGGGCAAATGGGGAGGGCCGAAGTACCGTAGGTTTCGGGGAGCCGATGAGCGTCTTACTGTCAAACTTCCGCACAAGGTGAAAGGTACCCTGCTTGTCCAGCGCCACTTACGGCTCCTTCTAGCCAGGATAGCTTTTCTTCCGCTTGAACAGAAAGTTCCATTCAAATACTGTCCAATAGCGCGCCCGAGCGGTCGCCGATGATGCGCACAAGCTGCCTGCTTCCACCGCCAGCATGATCTCCAGCCTGCTAGATATCGACTGCGACAGTACGCAATCCACCCGGTGAGCTAAGGTCAGCGGCACCGTAGTTTTGCATGGGGAGTGGCTCTTATCCTCCACTTCGTCGTCTACTAACCCGGCTTGATGGCGAGCTGTTCTTTCTCAGATCTACCGCCCGTGACTTCTGTAAAGCCCCTTGACCCTAGTCCTTTGCCAACCGGCGTATTTCACAAACGTGTGTATGTGGGCCAATAAGTTGGTTTCTACCAGATTCATCGTGGATGGTAGCTTACGCTTCGTCCCACCTCGATACATCTGTCGAGAGTCCTTTTCCGCCTTGCCTCAGTTCCCGGCGGACAAAGAACAGATGCGGGCGGTGCAGTGACGACGTTAGGAGCTACGCCCGGCGGCGCACACATAATGTCGAGCATATCCCGTCTCAGAACGACCGTGCCCAGAATGTAACCCTCTGAATGATCGATTCCTTCCCTGAATGATCCCGCCCCAGTACTCCCGTCCCTGAAAGATCGTTCCAGAACTCATCTTTCCTTAGATGTTTTCCGTCCTGGATGATCCCGTCCCAGAGTGATTAATCCTCTGGAAGACCCCGCGCCACTCTTCTGGCGTTATGCAGAGAGTGAAGGCAACTAGCCGGGACTATCCGGGATGAAGTGGACCGATTTTGTCTACGACTCGTTTTCACTTTGTGTGGTGACGAAAGAGGATGAGAGCAAACCGCTTGGCTTACTTTCTGAGAAGGCACTCCAGAACAAGTGCGGATCCATGATCGATGGCGGGTGGCGCTTCGTCCCGCTTCCCCGCTTGTGCCGAGAGCCACTTTCCACCTCTGTGAGTCTTCAAATCGTAACACAGTCGAACGGAGGATGACGGTAAAGCAAATGCAATATTATGGCACAAGCGTGAATCAAATACAGCCACCAACATCCGCGCGAAGTATTACGGCCCTAGAAGCCAATCTACTGGATCTTCAAGTAGCTACACCTCGCCAGTCAGTGGTGGAGCCCCAGATGCGGGACGGCAACTCTGTGATCTCGCTCTAGAGGTGCACAAGCTGGCGATGATACTTCCCGGGTGCTCTGTACTGCGTTAAGATTGGTCACCCTTCCCATTTTGCGACAACCCCGTGCGTCTCCCACGCGAAAGGATCCCGGTCTACGATGCAGTCTCAGTCTATTGGATTAGCGACGGACATGATTCCCAAGCCAGCGGAGCGATCACTTTGCTGTCGCTTCGCTGCAATAACGAGTTGTGTGTCAGCACTAGCGGGTAAGAGGTCAGAGTGAAGAAGGTGCTGTCGGTGAGGTCATTCCTGATTGAACAGGTCCAAGCCTCTGTGTGGCGGATAATAACTTCGATCCTCATAGGAAATACGTGCGAGCGTGCTGAGATCACAGGTACTGCAAAGCGAGTATCTTAGATTCGAAGAGTACTTAAAAGTCACAAGCATTGCTAGTCAACACTGGAGGGCTCGGTCTAGGTGCATTCTCTGAAAATCCGTTACCATTGAAGGCCACACTCGAGAGCCCATCTTCGGATATAGGGAACGGCAATGACCGTCGCACTTAGGGCTAGCGCTACCGGCTTTGTACCGAAAGGCACATCGGCGTTCCTTTCCCGCGAACCCTCCCTGCCGCTTCTGGATGCCATCAGCTATAGAAAGTTGCGTGCCCGACATGGGTGATGATCGCCTCTGCAGGCGATCGACGACGCGTGCTGTAGGCAGCGCAAGCCTCTTCTGTTACATTCTGCAATCTGCGATTCTGCTGCTCTTTCCTCTCTCCACAGCCACTCGCCCTAGTTGGAGATCTCATCGTCATCTACGTTTGCGGCAGCAGCGGACACCATCGATCTGGTTGTCTTCAAGCTTCCTCCTGGACGTACTGGTGCAGAAGGATCGTGGGCACGTTTGCCTGAAGCTCTTGCCCACGGTACAGGATGTATCTGCACCTGCGCATAGCCTTTCTCAACCACCAACGGTGATTCAGGCGCCTTGCGGGCCGGGTCCAGCAGTGTGAAGGCTTCCCGCCTCCTCTCTCCACTCCCATTTTCATTCCGCTGCACCCACCCAATCCCGCCCTCTGGCCCAACTACATCCTCACTCGCCTCCTGACGCGCCGCAGCAGCGTTCACATAGTACCGCGGACTTTGCCGTACCCGCTGCACATTATCGGCAATCCTCTGCCCAAATTGTATCCTCCTCCGCTGTTCCTCCGCATACAGTTTTGCCACTCCTAATGCAGTTCCTCCCGATACGTATGCTAGCTGATATAGCACTTTGAGTGCATTCTTCGAAAGCACACGTCGTGATTCGCCGTTGAATATCTCTTTGATATAATGTCATGAATACATCTCATGGATAGATGGTAGGACGATATGCATTAGGATGTTTGAGTAGTCCTGACATGCATGATGCGGATGCAGCCGACAGATCAGCTTTTGCCGCTAGAACTAGTGCACGATGGAATGCGATCTCTTCCCTTCCCGTCTTGCATGATAACGACAAAGTCCTTACGATACAATACATGTATGCGATATAATGATGGCGGCATCGTATGATAAATCTTTTCATGCTGTGTACTACTTTCGATCTATCCACCTCGCTGGTCACCCAACCTGACGGACTTTGCCATCGATCACCGCTTTGGTCACGAGACGATCATGTTCACGGCGAGCACTCTTGCGCCTGTACATCTGGAGCTCGCAATACAACCGATTGAATCTCTCATGTGCGATCGAGAGTGCTCCGGCGCCGTGATCGTCGGCCTTTCCCGCCACTCTGCGCGCCTAGGGTCCAGCGCCTTGTCATGTTGAGCTCTTTCACAGTCTGCCAGCTCATCGTTCTGGTCGGAGGTCGTACAACAGCTCCAGTATGCCCCAACTCCATTCTGCAATTCCATCCACCTGCTTCACATCTCTCATCCACTCTAGCAAGAGACCGGTGGTGCTTTCAATCTCCCGCCTACTAACTATAGTACCCTCGTCAACAATCTGTCGTAAACAATCGTTCACCCAACACATATTAAGCACAAGCAGAATGCCCATGAAGTTCTGCGTCCACGCGGACACGTGCAGGACTAGCCTCTTCTTGTTCTTCGGCGGTGCCATGGCGAGCGGCCACGTACACGCGCTCTTAAGAGCGAAACCGCAGCAATTACCATCCTCCGCCGTCATCAGCTCCGGAAAATGCAGCGCTTTGTACACGAACGGTCGATACATCATAAACCGAGCATAGTAGAATCTTGTCCGAAGTTGTGCCGTTACAACATCCAAATTATACTTGTGTCCAATTGGTACCGGACCCTGATCCGGACTGAAAAGTGGTTCGTTCGGCCGCCTGATCATGGGGTTCGTAGCTGGGAAGTCGAACCTATTATTGTCGCTCCACTGCAGAGGTCGCGGGAGTAGAGCTCTCCAACTATCTAGTTGCCTCATCATTTCCCGAATAACGGCCACAGGCGGACCGCCATAGTAGTCAAAGTTCTCCGCCTGGGCCGAGGATGCTGCAAGCGTCTTGTGAGCTTATGTCCCACTTGTCCGTTGGGAGCCTCGCCATAATGGCTCGGCCTGCATGGCACACTCACAATCATGTATCACGTTGTGGATGCGTGCGATGAGGCGTCGTAGCGCAATCATGGCGAGGAATTGGTACTGGGAATGACTGCGCTCTTGATTGGCCTGGGCGGAACCTACTGCGACACTGCTGCCTTGGTGTTGCTCTTGTGCTTCGTGGAAGTATGGTAGGGGTACTTCGTCCTCCATGGTGTGTATGCCGGTTTGCAGGAAGTCGAGATCTAGGTGGTATAGATCTTCGCTGAGGACGCAAGTCCAATATGCACGTTTCACAAGGTCGCCTGTAGCAGATGACCAGTCGACTTGCTCGCAACGAATTAAGACTTGGCACACCATCGAAGCGGCGACTGTGCAGCGCCAGAAGTCTAGATGCCGCGATGTCGCTTCGTAATAGGTAGCTTGTAGTAGATTGAGCTGGACATTCTCCAAGGTGTATTGCGTCCAGATGAAGCCAAGTCTTCTTCTGGCTTCGTGGAATAGAGCGAGTCCCGGTGGGTGATCAATAGTGCCGCCACGGAAGCCACTTGGCTGACCGTTGACGACGCTGACAGGTCTCTCGAACACACCGTCGAGCGCTACAGTGCCCAGCGCGAAGACCAGAAGAGCCACAACACTGCCGGAATCGCCATCTCCGTAGCCGTCCCGCAGGAGTCTCGCCACAGTGCCATTCATAAATGTCTCTCGATTGAGGACTGGTAAGAGAACATTGAATGTGTTGAAGTAGGCGCTGGAAAGCTCTTGTATTTGCTGAACACTGAGAGTCAAGAACACAACATTTGAAGCTCTACCTTGCTCTGGATTGCCAGTGGCCATCGTGAAGCACGGCAATCCAACGTGCGATGGTAGTGTATCAGGGTGGTTGCTCATCTCTCGTTTGATGAAACATGGCGTTCTTTCTTGACGTACATACTGCAGGTCAGATGCAGCCGAGATACCAGAATTGAGTAGATGTATGTATATGCCGGGCCACAGCATGATCTTGTGAAGTACTGTAAGGTGCTGATAAGGCTTTTGTATATTGGCGCTGGCAGCTGACCCTTCTGTATTCCGCTGTGCAGTCTCACTTTGTGATGCCTTCACGAGTGACACCGACGACGTACCACTCACCGACGCACGGGCGCCCGATGAGCTCATGTCCGGACTGCTTCCTTGTGTTATGGCTATATTGTTGAACTTGTTCTCCAGTCGAGTCAAGGTATCTAGAATATGGACCATGGTTTTGTCTTTCCTATTGGACCAGTTAGCAGACTGTCGTAATCACTGTTCGGGCCGCTTGCAGCATTTAGTTTGGCAAACTGCTGTCGGAAAGCTGGGTGAGACTGATGAGTGTTTGAGCTCATTGTCGTCGAGTTCTCAATGGTACACTACGACTTTAGTCTTGGACAACACTTACTTCGTTGGCAAAGGCTCTCGATACTCGCAATCCACATTGAGACGCTGACACAGCCCACCTACACTAGGGTCAGCAATCATGTCCGCATGCGGCAGGCACGGGACACTTACATTTTGGCCGTTGCTCGTCGCATTTGCTCTTCCTACATGACTGTCAGTCGCCTGCTCGCTCTGTTCAGATCACGTACTGATCGGAGATTGTTCCGCCACCGCTTACCGATTACGGCAAGTTTGACAAGCCTGGACGGCGGTTGCAGCTCTTGCGCGACGCTGCGATGAGTCCGACGACCGGGGATGCGCGAAAGACGCCATGCGGGCTGTTCTCTATGGCTGCTGACCCAGCATACGTTGTTCGTCCAGGCAGTGCTGGAAGGGATTAGGCCTCGTACGCGGAAGCGGTTTCTTGCGGCGTGCCTGCCGCCTACACATGATGCAGAGAAATTGTGCCACGAGCGCGATGATCGAGTTTATCCCCTGATATTGCAAAGTCTTGCCTGTTGGAATGCCAATCTGTGCAAATATTACAGGGCTGTAGTATTGGATGGCGGAGACTCCAGTCATTTGGCAGGCAGCCTGCAATGCGCAAGCCAAGAATAGGCGGCGGAGGGAGCTTCTGTTCGCAAAGAGCTCGGCGTATGATTTGGCCTCGTTCTCGTGTTCGTAGGTGATCATATCCTGGATCTGGTCGAACTCGGCGCGAACCCAGGGGTCCTCCGTGTCGCCGTGCGCATGCAGCTTGGCAAGGGTGTGAAGCCCTTCTTCCGCGTGGCCATGGTCAAGGAGCCATCTCGGAGACTCTGGAAAAAGCAATATGAGTCCTGCGAGGAAGCCAGCTGGAACAATCTGGATACCAAGACTAATCCGCCACTGTTTACTTGTCGTCGCCGGGAAGTTGGTGTAGCCACCGTAAGCGATCCAGCTGGCCACAAGCGACCCAATGCCGAGCATGAATTGCTGCAGTCCCGTTATAAAGGAGTGCATCAAGCTTGACCAGTACGCGTTGGGCGGCCGTATTTTAACGAACCTCATCGACATGCACAGCATACACGTCTATACAGCATGTGGCGATGATCCGCTGAATAACGCCGTAGCTCCGCGGTGTGCTGAGCGAGCCATTGAGATCTGCGCCGGCCTGGTCGACCTCGCGCAGATAGGGAATGGCGTTGCGCATACGCTGCCAAGACAGACCATTTGCTTCGATGAATGGAATGTCTGGGATCCGAAGCGGGCGCCTGGTGAGCAAGGAGCAGAGGAGCGATATACACTCTCTGACGCTCTTGCTGTGGCCGTCTGGTTGAACGTGTTCGTACGGCAAAGCAAGTTTGTCGGCATGGCCAACATTGCTCAGAGCGTGAATGTCATATCGCCGCTGATGACGACGAAGGACGGGCTGGTGAAGCAAACAACTTGGTGGCCACTGCTGTTGTTCTGCAAGTATATGCGAGGCTGGACTGTCGCCACGCATGTTAGTGGCGGCGCATACGAGGGCGAGACGGAATTAAAGTGGATCCGGGCAACGGTCGACACGCCTTGGCTCGATGTTCGGCTACAGTCAGTGAAGATGGCTGGGTGAGCTTTATGGTGGTAAATGTTCACCAAACGGAGAGTTTCGAGATCGAAATCGAAATCAGTGAAATGAAAGCCACGAAAAGCAAAGCTCAGAAGTTCCTAGTGACCGGCGAGCGATAGGATGTGGTGAACATGGACGGCAAGCAGAAAAGATTGCTGTTTGGAAGAAGTACAGACGCTCACATCCACCTAGGTACCTCCGGTCTCAAAGGAGTGAGCGCCTTATATTGCGCATTATACGTGGACGACAAATTACGCATTTGCATAGAAGATCGCTCAACTTTCGGCACCAGCGTCTTCTTTGGCTTGGAAGAGAAGGTTGTGCGCCGCCGTAGCAGCTTCGCTATGCCGCTAACAAGCGAACCTGCGAGTCCATGTGGAGTCATGCCCGTCAAGCTGGGGAATGTGACGTTTGCCCTACGATTCCCAGATCATGAACATGGAATCGTAGAGTATTTTAGAGACATGGTAAATCTGTCTCAAATGTTCCACAGAGATCACGAAGGTGGAGACTCTGGCGGCGCTCTCCGGGCCCTACCCATGAGTGGGAGGAGCACTGTTCCACCAACTTTTTACGACACGCCGCACGCTCATCCTTTTTCTCAAAGCCGACGGCAAGTAAGTCTTCTGAGCATCCATCTTGGTATAAGCTCTAAAGCTGTGACTCTCTCGTGACCCTCTCCAATTCTATACTGGCAGACTGGAGCCTTGGCCAAATCGATCTCCTCTGGAATCTACCAGCAGAAACAGGCAACAAAGGAGTAGGCCATGCCTCCTTGCGGGGAATTGTCGTCTTGCATTTACTTCAACCAGCCGTCGTCGTGTGGAGTGATCTGGCCAATGTCGTCCAGGACATCATAGTGATCCTTGAAGAGCTCTGCGTTGACGTCTTGGTTGGAACCAAAACCCCACTGGTGCAATGTCTGCGGGATGAAGCTGAAACCGGTATTCGCAAGTGCTGAATATGGCGATATCACTGAGCTCTCGTCGAGACCCGTGGGTACCGCGTCCATCGATGATTGCATCAGTGTTTGGCAAAGGTGTGGTCCTTGCTGCATTGTATTACGCTTCATGTTGCCATTTGGGTTGTACGAGTAGCTAGATTGGCTAAACGTCTGGCTTGCTATAGGCAAGTCATGTGGCCACGCGTCTTCAGGAACCTGCTGAGCTTCCATAGGTAGTTGCATGGTGAACGGGTTCATACCATCGTTGAGCTGGTGCTTGGGGTTGATACTGAAGGGCGAAGTCAGAGATTGCTGATGCCAAGGCTGTGGTTGCTGCTGCCGATTCTCTGGCGCCGTCGCTACCTGGTGCGTCGACTCCGGCTTGATGTTGTGACCTACAGCGAGATCGGTTGACAAGCCACGCCTGGAGCGTGGAGACCAATGATGAACTGGCGACTGCAGCAGCCTTTGGTAGGAGACAGGGGTCTGTGGCATCATGTTTTGTGCGGCTAGCAATGTGCGCCGCTCCACTATCGACCTTGCTTCCACCGAGCTGATTTGATCAGATTGCGAGTGGTGCGGTTGGTACTTTGTTTGTGCCGTAGGCTGCGCAGTGGACTGACTATGGTAGTTTTGTCGCACTGCCTGGTTGTTCTGTGGCATGAGGTAAGGCTGCTGTCTGTAGTTGGCGGGTGAAGTATGGTACATTTGTGGTGGCGGCATGCCCCGTCGCATCCGTTGCTGTCGTGACATCTGCATGATGTCGTTGGGCTTATATCTATTGTTGCCCGCTTGCATCGTGTCTGCAGTGGCATGACCGACTGCCTGCCTCATCGCAATACCATTGACGACGTAGGCCTGGAAGCGTTGGTTGAACTCGGCGCTCTGAGTCTGCAGATGAGCAGTCAAACGACGGTACCGCGTTGGCAAGTCAACATCCTCCTCTTCGTACATCTCTTCATTGACGACATGCTGTTCAGTGACGCGAAGCGATCGGCCAGTTCGTCGCTTGTGGATCTCAGAAGCCCGTCGCGCAGACTCAACTCGTGCTTCCAGAGTGCGGTCACTGCGACGAGACGCAGCGATATATGCCCGTTCTCGATTTTCTTCTTGTGTCCTCTTTGTGATTACCGGCTTCACCGAAGAACTGCCCGTCCGTTGGGATGGCATGTTGTATCCTATGACGATATATTTAGCAACCGTACACATGGAAAGCATGTCAGACGTCACATACAAGATGCGATTTCAATTATCGATATCCGCTCGGGTTTCCCACGAAAGGACAGCCTCCTGTGATACCGGAGCAATGATAGGCGAGTGGGAAACACGGTCGGACCAACTCATCTAGTAGGCTTAGCGATTCGATTCAACAGCTGGACAGTAGCAAAAGCCAGACGACAGCGCTAAACGGTCCCGACGGTACGTTCTAGAAGGATGCGTTGAGTGGTGCAGGTACAGCCATCATGGTAGAATGGCATATGGCGTGGATTAGCATGAAGTTGACTCCGTGGGAACAACAAGAAAGGTACCGGGCCAAAATTGGATGTAACCTCAATCTATGTGCGCAGAGGCGGATGGCACTATGGACCTGGATAGACAATAGAGAGGGTGGAACGAATCGAAGGAATCCCTGTCGACCGTTGCAGAAAGCACGGAGTCACCACAGACTCGAGCAAAAGCAGCAGATCTGCAGACGGCAGCTAGCAGGGGATCCATCGGTTCGTCTCGCCCTCTGTAGTTTAAGTGCACTCTTATCGTTTCTCCACGAATGTGGGCGTCTGGAGGCGGGCCGCGTGGCGAGGCTACCGCGGTTTGATTCATCGAAGAGTGTGGAGCAAGACTCGATCGCGAGATTTTCCCAATAGCCAAGCCATTAATATCCGACAGCTTGGTTCTGATCGGGCTCAAAGTAAAAACAGGTCGATCTCCGATCCCGCTGCCTGCCGAGGAAGATCCCGAGGGGGATCTTGCTAGTTCTTTCTTAGTTCCATGAACCTGTCAGCTACGGCACCATCGCCACTTCCCGAGCTAAGGTTAGGATGGCAACAACACACATTTTCGTCGCTCGACATCATTGGTCGGAGACCCGCCATTTGGAACGTGGGTGACACGATTCATCAGCACGCCAACCGCGACTAGATATATTGGGCGCAGCTAAGGGGTTCATGCAGTCGATTGTTCTCTGTTATGAACCTCCCTGAATAATAACCATTCAATCCTGTCAGCTGGAGAAAGAGACAGCGGAAATGAAGAATAGACTGGCACAGTGGTAGCAGAAGCGACTGGACTGCTAACGTGCCGCCGGTCATGAGAGCGCTTCCCAGCGCATACTACAGCACCCTTTGGCTGTTTCCCTCACAATCACCTGTCATGTTACGTCACATAGGACACGCAGGCAGTGTATCGAGGCTTAGAGCCGCAGACTGCCGCCACATAGTCCACAAACACAATTATTTTAAGGTCGTTCGGCCCTATGCCAACAAAAAGCCTGCTCGAGCTGCCATCATATCTTTGCATAGGCGCAGCATCTCTGCACAAGTGTGTGGACTAGCTATACTGCTCAACGGTGCCTCAGCTCCCCGAGCCTACGTTTACGCGCCCTCGGCACAATTCTGACAGAAACATGGTGCGAGCGCAAAGCACACCGCGAATCATACGCTGCTGTCTAGACGCCGGCTCGCTGTCACACGTGCTATCGACGCATGTGAGGCTGGTACGGCACACCTGCTTCAAGGCGTCTATCGCTGAACTCCGTTTCGCATTTCCGGCTCAATCTTTGGAACTACATTTGGTCCATCGGGTTTGCGACAGAGCATGTATAACGAATGCTTTATCCGGATGATTCCAGCGAGCACTTCAGCGTCTTTCCAATACTGTAACACCTCACCGCCGTCCTACGGATCTGCATGCTCGTTCTCAACTTTCCATCTACATTCCCAGATCATGGATCCGATGAGCGTGGGTGGTCTTGCGCTTGGAGTGACTTCTCTTGCTTTTGATGTCTTTGATCATTCTATCAAGCGTAAGTTTGCTGTCAGCCACCAATGTGTCGCTCTAACGAGGGTTTAGTCTTCCAATTCTTCGCCTCGATCATCGATATGCCCAAAGAATGCGAGCGACACCGACTTTAGCTTATGATCGAATACTGAACGGCGACGGCGAAATGGCGCCCCGATCCGGAGGCACCCGATCGGGCTTAGCGTCGGCCGGGGACGGTCAAGTGCTGACCGTATCTGGCCAAGCGCCAGGGCCCCACGTCCATCTCGACTTCACCTGCGTTGCGCGCCCGACACCCTCGACCCTTTTTGCTCGCAATGCGACTGCCCATCCTGCCGCTCGCCTGCGCCGCGATCGTCAACCGCGGGCGACGCTGCGCCTCCACAGCTGACGCGTCCTGTAGGTGGGAGGATGCAACCTCCGAGTCGGACGATGGGAGACCGCCGTCGCTGTGAGGACGCAGCTTCCACGGTGGTCAGGGCCCGCCTGTAGGGTGGCCATGCTGCGTCGACTCCCTCCAACATCTCGCCCGCGCGATCCTCAAACTGAGCCTTCTCTGGAGCTGCGGCCCAGCCGCCCATGGATCTGTGCCAGCCAGCCGCGAGGCTGTGACTTAGGCGTCTGGATGTGCGGCGTCGATCTCAGCGTTCATCACCTGCCCATCCTTTGCCGTGGCAAGCCGACCACACCCCTTCTTCGACATCTGCAGTCTCGCTGCGGCGTGCCCTTATCACACGAGCGCCATTTCCGGCCACAGACTTGCCGGCTTCGCCAGCTGATCTATGCATGATCCTGGCAAGCTCCTCATCTTGTGTTTCGGGTGGTCTGCTCGTGAGTACTGCCTGGACGCTAGACTCTCATGCGCATGCAAATGGGTTTACACCGACGTTGTTAGCGCCTCAACGGATTGTGGTTGCGGTCGAAAATGGCAATCAGCGCTTTGGGGACTATCACGAGTCGTTTCTCTCTCGAAATGGAAAGCCTAGAATCGGCAGGCAAGCACGCTCTAACTACGGTGCGGCCATATAGCGTACATTATCCGCCAAACTGTTCTGCTTTACGATCTTCCGGTGCTCAACAGTTCCCAGACCTTCCAGAGCAGTCTGTAGACTGATCGCTCGAACTCCTTAATCAGGACGATGGCTACCACAGCGTCGCTGGATAATATTTTCTTCTATCATGGCCCACCTTCACAGTCGACCGTGCGCAAGCCGCCCGAACGATCTCCCGCCGTGAGGGGCTGCCCTAGCCAAGTCGTGTTCAGCATACCGAGCCCTCGCGAGCCACCAGTCGACTGTACGTCTGTTCACTAGAAGCGAGCCTACCCGTCTTTCCAGAGCACGCTGACATGTAAGCCATAGATACCGGCGCCGGCATTGACACTGGCTCTCTGAAGCCTCGTATAGTATCGACAATCGCCCCATCGCACCGCCAGGAGCTTAGTCCATCCCAGCTATCGTCTGGGGCTAGCGGGCATATCGTCCCCGAAGAGACTACGCAGACTCCCGATGCAGCCTGCTCGACGGTAGGCGCGTCGGCCCCGGGATCAGTGGGCAGTAGCCGTGCGCACTCGGCAGAATCTGTCGCAGCAGCATGTTCGCCACCGCTGCAGATCGAGTTCACCGCTCCATTGAGCAGCGCAGCCGATCTGCAGGCCTCGACGGAAAGGTCCCGCGGCGCCAATATCACATCCGCCGGACCCGGTTCCCGTTCTTGCACTGAAGACATGGAGTCCGTCTTGGTCGCAGAAACGGGTAACACTTCTGGACTAACGTCTGATGGTGGAGTAGCTGCTCGCGAGTTATCGACAGGACAGCCTTCTGCACGCACTACAAGCTGGCCGAGCCCGCCGAGTTGCGTTGACGCCCATAGACACTCTGTTGGATTATCACCCTCGACCTGGATCCCATTGGCCAATTCCGACGGCAGTGACGGTGACGTCTCCTGGCGACCACAACCATATGTTGCTGACCTATCGCGTCAAGCCGCTTCTCTTTACAAGGCTAGCTCGCGGTGTCTACAATCTGGACCAGACAATAACGTTCGATCCGCCGAATCCGTCGAAGCAGATGACGCGCCTCGTGGGGAAATTGCGAGACCGGGTTTACAGAAGTCTTCGGCGTCCGGCACACATTTCCGGTCGAGATACTTGCCTAAGGCTACAAGCGATGACATCGAAAGCGAAGCTCCGCGGAAGCCTTACCAGAGAGTTCGCACGAAATTGAGCTCGCACTCGAGCAGCAATAGTGCACTTCGACCATCACGCCGTGGGCCAAGCACGAGACCTGAAACCGCGATTCGACCATCCAGACCGACATGGGCTGTAAACAGGATTGTAGGTAGCAGGCGTCGTGGATCAAAGCTGTACTACAGAGTACGTTGGCAAGACACGTGGGAGCCTGCCAAATGTCTGCAGGGTAGCGCAGACACCGCCATTCAGGAGTATGAAGACGCTACTAAGTGGAAAAGCACGTGTTCGCAGTAGGGGTGAATGAACGTTGTGCTTGTACGCCTCGCACGACTTGAGCTAGTACTGTAACACTTCCGGATTTCCTCAAAGATCGTCCCGCTAAGCGCTTCTGTACTGGCCCTGGTACCCCAGCGCCAGCGTGAGGTTGCTCACGTGTGTCAGTGTGGAAGGTTGGTCTTTTCCTAGCACCTTCTCCCTCCCCTATGATACTTGCTGGTAATGCATCGCCCTCGCCGCGTCGTACTTGCCCTGATACTGCAGCATCAGTGCGAGTTCACTCACGCACGTCAGTGTGTTGAGATGCTCCTTTCGCAGCACCTTCTCGCATTCCTCACCACTGTCTACAAAGCTTGACAAAATGTGTCGCTATCGCCTCGACCTTCGCACGGTAGTCGCTCTACGCTGCATACCTCATCTCATAGCAAATTTTGCAGACCCGTGCAATACTCACAATGGAGGTGATTCCGAGTCGTATCTGCGATAGACTGCAATTCATCAGTTGATGACATGGGATTGCTCACGCACTATATAGGCGTAATACATGCGAAGGGCAACATGTTGAGCTATGTAGATTTGAGTGCATCGACCTTCGCCCTCAGCGCCTGAGCCTCGTCTAGTCGTCCTTGTTCCCGATAGGTTATTGCCAGATTTGCCATGATGGTCAGCGTGGACGGATGCTCTTTCCCGAGCGTTCTCGGGCTCGCCACCATCGCCTTCACCTCTAGCTGCTCTGCCTCCTTCCACCGGCCCTGATTCCAGTATGTCGATGCCAGGTTCGCCATAGCGGTCAGCGTGGACGGATGCTCCTCGCCCAGCGTCCTCAACCTCGCCTCCATCGCCTCCACCTCCGGCTTTTCTGCCTTATTCCACCGGCCTTGGTAGCAATATGTGGCTGCCAGATTGGCCATGGCGGTCATTGTGGACGGATGCTCCTCGTCGAGCGTATCAATTGGTTGCACGCTTCACCAGTCAATCTGCGGGGTATTGCAGAGAAGTCATGGACACACGGTGTACTGTACGCACGCGCCACGTGCGGTGGACAGTGCTGGCAAGGTGACACGAGCTTTGTGGAAACTGCCCCTCATTCCTTGGCATTGTCCCTCCAGTTCCGCCGTCCGTCGACTGTCTCCCAGCCGGTCGTAGTACCCAGCGAGGTTGCTCATCGAGACAAGGGTGTCCGGGTGATCCCGCCCGAGCTTGTCTTTCTTCATCTGCCAGCATCTCTGCCGCTCGCCGACTGTCTCCCAGCCGGTTGTAGTACCCAGCGAGGCTGCCCATCGAGATGAGGGTGTGTGGATGATCTGGCCCGAGTCTCGCTCTCGAAATGCTCCAGCTGTGGTGCGCTAACTTGATCGCCTCTGCCCAGAGTGCAGCCCCTCCTCGACTCGATGAGTACCCCGCTGCACGAAATAGCACTGCTGCCCACCGCAGTACACCGGCTTCATTGCTCGGCTCTATATATGACATTGTCTTCACGTAAACCAACAACGCCTGACAAAGAGGCCAGTTGTCTAGGTCGTCTAACGGAAAGGCCACATCAAGCTTCGCGACGAGTCTGTCCACTTGCTTGCCTTGCTCTCCTCTACCACCCCAGGCATGCACTAGTTTATGCATCGAGTATCCTGCCTGCTCTTCCTTCCACTAGATCAGCGAGTACGTTAACAACGCCTTCGGTGCCTTATCGAGCACGTCTGTCAAAGGCCTCTCCAGTGACACGAACCTTTCCTAGTCCTTTTCTGCGACTCCATTCTTCGCCGTCAATGGGTCCACCGCATGCCGCAGCAGTTCCAGAGAGATGTCTTCCGGATCGAGGAAGGCAAAGAAGCTCAGCATTAGGGCTGCCACTGGACACTGCTTCGCGATCGTCGCACACGAAGTCACCCATGTGCTCAGCAAACTCTCCCCATATCGATGGATCTGCTGCTTCGCTTTCCGTCCCAGCGGTGCCTACCATCGGCCTCGGCACTCTAGCAGGTACTCGGCAAGGTTCGAGCGGATACGTGGCATCGCCGCCACGTAGGCGCCAGCCAGTGTCACGACCAACGTTAAGTAATCGAGCTCGGCCACGATCAGTGCCGTTCCTATACGAACAGATCCAGCAGCATCGCCGAGCTTGCTGCAGCGTATGAACATGTCCACTGCCTCCGCAGGTGCAAAAGTCCCACCTCTAGGGCTTGATCCTCGGTCATACCGACGTTGTCTGGCTCCATGTGGTGATGATGATGATCTCGACACCAGGCGCAATTTTGCGCCAATTGCTGCTCCAAGACCAACTCTTTCGAAACCTCGTGTAGCTCTCGACCTTCCTCTGCCTGCTTAAGAGGAAGTATGCGTATTCGGTAAGACACGACTTGATGCAAAATATGTAGTCGCAGCTCTGCGGTCCGGAGGTTGGCGGGTCTGGACGTGGCTGTTCACTCTCCGCATACGCGGTATAACGAAGTGTTGCATGAGAGTAGTGATTGAACATTGAAATTCACAGCGCACAGGGCAAGTTGTGCTGGCCCTAGTCAAGCTAGCGCCAGCACAACTTGCCCTGTGCGTTTGATGCAATAGTAGGCAATTACCATTCGCAAAGCACAAGTGCGCCCCTCTTCGCGCAACAACATCCTTAATCTTCGTCTTACATGCGTCATCATTGGAACAATTGATCTCGAAATAACTGCCTTAACTGACACAGGGGATGCTTTAAGACTCCGCTCGCCTTTTGGCTTCTCCTGAACGAATGCGTTGAGCTTAAGATGTTACAAGATTCGCCTTCAGACCGGCCACAGGTCGCCTCGAAGCAAGATCTCACAGATCTCTGCGAGGTTGAAGACATTGACACAGGATCTGTGTTACGCACGACGTTCTCCTTCGTCGATACCTACAATAGCGCCTGGTTCGGCCAGGTCTCCGGAGTTCGAAAGTATGACTTGACAGTGGAGGACTTGAGAAAGAACCTTCGTCGGATATCCGACGAAGTCATCTATCCGGAAATGACAGCTGGCTTGACAATTGTTGCGGACGATAATGATATGAAGCGATACTACATCAAACGGCCCAAGCTCCTTTGCCTGGACGATCTGGAAGAAACTAAACTGATCCCAAGGATGCTTGTTGAAGAAGCTCAAGTGTTAGAGATCCTTAAGTCTTACGGGCACAGAAATTTGGTGCGATATCATGGATGCCTATCGAAACAGGGCCGGATTGGTGGTATCGCTTTGCAGAAATACGATATCATATTGCAATAATGATTCGACGATGATGCGCGAGCACTTGACGTTACTGCATGCATGAGCGGTATGAGAGCGGGAATTGAGCAACTCCATCTCTGGGACTTGCGCATAATGATCTTAACCCTCTGAACATAGCTATGGACCAAGACGACCAGGCTATTATCCTCGATTTTGGTTCTTGCAATATGTTTGGAGAGGCGCCACTATCTGGAGGGACACCTAGCTGGATCGACGAAGATTACAGCACTTCCGCACAGCATCACGACGAGAGCGCATTGCGAAAGCTGGACCGGTGATTGTGGAAAAATCGATTGGAGAGGATGAGCGAGGCGGAGCAGACAGAAGAAACGCTCCCGGCCGTCCCTTAGATTGGACACAAATGGCAGGAGCACGGTTGCTGGGTGCGCGAGCCCCGGAAGGCTGTTACTGCTGTTCTAGATCGGCCAGACACCTATCATTGGGCCTATTGCGTCTTCCCATTGGCTGCCTGGCACGGTATCTTGCGTCGTATGCCAGGGATACTCTCCCCCTTGCGTCTAGTGGGTCTGCGTAACGATCTAACGGGAGCTAATAAGGAATCGAACTTCCTTCACCGATCCTGTCTCTTACACTGCTCAAGGCGATGAAGATCCCTACTACCTCCGTTTTCTGTCACCATCGATATACCATTGCAGCTCTAACGTCGAAAGGTTCTTCGCGGCGAACGAAGACAAAGCACCATCTACTAGACCGCCGTTGGGTTGACACACGCAGGTAGGCCTCGGTACACTACCTCAATCTCTAGCGTTGTAGCATATATGGTTACATGTGGTTATGTCGAGGCTCGAGACTCGCACGGTCCAATGAGCTGAGCCCCGCAGAAACTTGGTAGCGGATAGTGTGTCCTTGCTTAGCTGACGTCGGCGGGACGAAAGGAAATACCTTCTTTATCTTGGGTCGGTCACAAGAGCTAATCGGTCACTAGTCTGAATACGGAAGGCCTGCCGGCCGCTAAATCCACAAGCGATTTCGTTACCTCATTCACTACGAGTTATCTAGCGACAGGATTTGCCGCAATGCGCAAACAACCCCGGTTTTGCTGACGACATCTGTTACCTCCCCTCTGGCCCCTCCTTCGGCTTTAAGCAATGAGTGTGGGGCCGCTTGCCCTAAGGGCTCGACGAGTGATCTACGTGTCTCACCAACTATCTCTGTCTTGCGCGAGATCTGAGATGGCCCGTCATCTCAACATCGCCCATCCCCAGCCTATATAAGCGTCGGACTAGTACCACACTGTACTGTCTCCAGTGACATATATAGTCGTTGTGCACATGACTGGCGCCAATTCAGCTATACCCTCTCTTAGCGATGGCTCACCAGTGTCAAGGCCTCACCAGCACTAATGACATCCTCATGATCGAGAAGGGCTGCGAGTTGCCACAGATAGCTATCGAAAATAACAACAAAGCCAGTGATACGATACTGGTATGTTGTTTTGCTATACAGAAGATCTCTACAGGCGTTGAGATCTCTCTTAGGTGACATGGAACGGCGAAGACGACCCAAGTAACCCTTTGAACTTTTCCCTGTATCGAAAATGGACCATCACCGTCCTGATATCCTTCGGCGGCCTAGTTTGTCTCATGAGCTCCACGATGCTTGCCCCGGCCCTGGTTGACATTGCCCACGATCTAGACATTCCACAGGCCAGTGCTAACATGACGCTATCAATCTTCGTGCTCGCCTTCGCCTTCGGACCGATGTGAGTTGAACAATCACGATGCGTTACCGAATCATTTCGACCACTGCTTACGCTACGTCTCGCAACAGGATACTGGCTCCCATGGCAGAAGTCTTCGGTCGCCGCAATGTCTGGCTGGCAAGCTCACTTTGGTACGCGGCCTTCAAGATGCTCGGCGGCTTCTCCCACAACAACGGCTTGTTGCTAGCTAGCCGACTGCTTGCAGGCTTGGGCTCAAGTGTGGAGTTTGCGACGTCTCAGCCTGTGCTCGGTGACTGCTGGCGTGCGGATCAGCGAGGGCAATCGTTCGCTATCGCAACGTTTATCCCTTTACTTGGACCTGCTATTGGCCCGGTAAGCCCTAAATGATGCGTCTTCAGGTCGTCCTGCTCATGACTTACGCTGGGCCCAGATCGTAGGCGGCTTGATCACGAAATCGGTCGGCTGGCGCTGGATCTTCTGGGTTCTATCCATCTTCGATGCGCTATTGATCATCTTTGCTTACTTCCTGTTTCCGGAGACCTATGGCCAAGTTCTGCTCGCTCGTAAGGCTGCTCAACTTACCCAGCAGACCGGAAACCGTCACATCACTGAGTACACTACCCATAGTCAACCGCTCAGGCTCAAACTACAGAACGGCTTCCTTCGTCCCGGCCGTCTCCTTCTAACACAACCTGTTGTCCAGCTCGTGGGCCTTTTCATGGCTTTCAATTACGGCACCTTGTTCTTTGTTCTTTCCTCCTACGCCACGCTCTGGACAGCCAATTATGATGAGTCTGTTGCAACCAGCGGTTTGCATTACACTGCGTTCGTCGTTGGCTACACCCTTGCCGCCCAGGGGGGTGCGCGTCTTACAGACAGGCTATGGCAGCACTTCAAGGCTAGATCAGACGGACAAATAACACCTGAGTACCGTGTCCCTCCAATGCTCCCGGGGACCCTTCTTATTCCTGTCGGCCTACTATGGTACTGCTGGGCCGCCCAAGTACATGCGCACTGGCCCATTGTTGACGCTGGAGCCGCGGTCTTCGGATGCGGGATCATTCTCAGCACACAGGCGATGCAACAGTATATCATGGAGTCCTACAAGGAGTACGTCGCATCTGCTGCAGCCGCAAGCCAATTCTTGCGTAGCATTTTCGGGTTCTGCTTCCCGTTGTTTGCGCCGGCGCTGTACACACGTTTAGGCTACGGCTTGGGAAACACGACAATCGCCACAGTCTTTATGGTGTTGGGTATACCGGCGCCATTTGTATTGTGGTTTTATGGTGCGCAGCTGAGAGCGAAAGGAAGAGCGGTGATATGATTGTTGATCGACTCTGAGCGTAAAGAACATGCTCCCTGGTTCCTCAATCCATCTTTACGCGATGGACTACAATTCAAGACTAAGGACAGGTGCCACTACTCTAAGCATCCCTCATCGCTTCTCGATGTAACTAGTCTGCTATGTTCGTTCCGTAGATCAATTGTCGCTTGAAGGGGGCGGCAAACTAGCATTGAATAGAGATTCTACATCTGCAAACTCGCCTCTACGGTGCAAAAGATTCAGCAAGAGTATTCTTCAGGTATTTCCCAAATCAACCAACAATGACATTGTTCAGAGGTATCTCAACGGTTTTCTTGCGATGACCCTAAGCGAAGCCGAGCACAAGTCTCGCCACAACCGTCTCGCACCGACGAGTTCGGACCGGGTTCTACTCAAGCTAAAGGAATCCCTCGCGGCGATCGTGCTGGTATTCGTCGGTCAAGGACAAGGAGCGGGTCAGAGCGGCCACAGATGTAATGCGTTTCGCTTGGCCAAGGATAATAATTCAAACCTCTTGATATTCGGGTTCCCTACGACACGACAGGGATGCTGGCTCGGTATGCTTGGACCCTACGTGGTACCACTTACCAATCGCCGCGTTCGTCAACTTGCTGGTGAACTGCAACAAATTGTCAGTGGGCAGAACTTCATGAGTATCCGTGTAAGTGAGGGTGAGAGTATTGCATGGAAACGCTTGATCCCCGCCCTGATTGAGAGGTGTCGCGTCCGTTGGCAGCACGAGTCAAGTCGTGAGTACGATCACTGAACCCTGTCTGTCCATTGTCTGTCCTGCATGGCGCGATGCCGATTTGTACTTGCGGCGAAGGACAAGATGCAGATGGAGACGAAGGTGCGAGGCGGTCATCGAAGCTCTACCAGATGTGAGAAGCCCGTAATTCTATCGTAGAACAGACCAGCCGACTAGTGGCGCTATAAGGTAACAGGGATCCCATCGATCCTTCACCTTCTTCTTTAGTAGTGATGCCGATCGTTGTTGGGCAGAGTTCAGCGGAAGAAGGGGGTCGTTTGCCAGAAGTCTATGAGATTATGGGTTCTCTCGCGTGTCAGACCAAGACCACCTCAGTAGCCCAAGAAAAGCTTCTAGGACTCGTGAGCATGTCCGACTGTTGCCAGCTAGCTTGTAAAGTTTTCAGCTGCATTGGGTGTTGGGACTGGGAGGGATTGAAAGATGCATTTCCTCGGCATCCCTACGATCTTTCGTAGTGCCATTGGTGCTTGCAGATGATGATAATGGCCGGGCACGATGATTGGTTCATGAGGTGCTCCTTTAGCAGTGCCATATTTGCCAATGACAATCCTCACAGCTGTCAAGTTGACAGGTCTGCAGAAGCGGAGATGGCGCAATCGACCTCGATCATAGTGCAGGATGTCGGTATGTGAGACAGGCACTGCGCACTGCACTCTGCTCCCTGGCCCTCGGATACTAGGCTGTGTTCGCCCCAAAGCATCGTAAAAGGTACTTCGCACGGCTTCCACGCCCGGGTTGTTGGAAATGGGGCCTCGGACTATAACGTACAGTAAAATATAGAGTTGGTCAGGAAGCTTCTGTTTCCGCAATGGCCTTACTGGTATCCGGAGTGCCGGACGTTGAGATATGTGGTTCGTGCTGCACGGTAAGTAGGTACGGCTCGCGACTAATGTGGTTCTGAGCTCGTAGAGTTCATGTGGAAGAGGGGACTGAGTTCGGACATGCTACACAATGCAGTATTTGCCCGACACGTTGTTGACCAGCAAACCTGTTCGCCCACTTGATCCTTTGGCTTGTGGTAAAGCAGCCTTATCCATACTCCCGTGTCGACATTGTGAACTTGCTGCATGTGCAGTGTCAAAGGATCGCAGAAGTAGTATGTCGTGTATACGGCTTATGGTAACTGATCGCTCCATGGTCTTCTTGGCAACTGTACGTGCCATTGTGGCTGAATGGACTGATGCGGTCTTGGATCGAGCGCGTAATCACACGAAAGAGTCCCAGAAGGCTGATCTGGTCGACCACGGCGTCAAGATCGCTGTGATCTGTGCTTTAACTTTCGACGTAGACGACGCCAATTTGGGCACGATACTGTCTTGTCCCCGTGCCGCGGCCATTCTGATCAGATGCGCAATGGTAGTTCAACGCAGTAGAGCAGTCGATATGGCGGGCAAGACTTACTCCGCGTTGCTCATGTTTCGAGTGCACCAACTCTTTCATCGGGCGTATCCACTTCTAAGCCGGAATCAGGAGGGCTTGAACAACGCCATTGCGTCATCTTGGCCCGCGTTCACGCCAAGCGCCATTGGCTGGGCTGAAGCTTCGCCAGGGGCTGATCACTGGATGACAACGCTTTCGACACCGGCAGGCGGACACGTTCCGCTCCGCATCCATTACAACCTTCTTAGCGGAGAGCTCCTGGTGAACGGCAAACCATTCGATCAGACGCCAAAAAAATATCTTCGCGATCTTCTCTATAGGAAATTGTTCGGTGTGTCCCCGCTAGATGTCGTTCCCGTCACATCACCTCCCGGGCTTTCTTATGCAGCATCTCGCTGCATCGAAGGCTGTTCTGTCTACCTCGGGGTATCGGACGATGCAGATACAGATCAGCATCACGTCATTGTGCGAGCAGTTAAAGGGGAACATACGTATGAGACCATTCCCGCTCAACTCTTCACCGAAGAACTTCCTGCGCACTTCGTGGATGATTACGTGCATTGGTATGATGTAGAGAGAGATGTGGTCCACTTTCGTCCTCGCGAGGCGCCCTGGGATGACACATCGCCGTTGCAATGGCTCCTTCAGCCGGCTGGGTCCGGCTTGCAGTGGCGCTGCTCCAGGGGAGAGACCTATCTACTGGGACTGAAGAGCACGACATGCAAGGCGATCACGACACTGCTAGCGCCATTGGCTGAGGAGCGAGATATGCGTCACGTTGTAAGGGATGGGATCCTCCATATCGACCTACCACGCCTCCACCTCGAGTTCTCCATCGATCAAAGATCCTCTTGCATGCGCTCCCGAGACTTCCCAGGTTATGTTGTGGATAGCGATCAGAGGCTCGGTACACTGATTGGCTTTCGTCATAAGCTTCTCTTGAGGCAAATTGCGGGCAGGAGGCGCAAAATACTGATCCCGGAGGCCAATGTCAGCTACCACAAAACTACGGATCATGTCGAAGTGGTTGTCTTGACCAGTGAGATTGACCGTTTTCAGGTCTTAGAAATCGACGAGACTCTTGGTAGACTGGTCGAGAATGGTAGCCTAGAAGGGATGATTTTCCTGGCCTATCTGCATGCACTGACATCGTTCGTCCTCCCAGACACGTTCACAACACGGAGCGGTACTGAGCAAGCCTTGAACATACTCACGTCTGCGGCTACCAGATCCTTCTCCTGCTTGACACAGCGGGCTGCCGACCTGTTGGGCCAGATTGCCAGATTGAGCCCGAGACGCAAATACTATCCACGTCATAAACACGCCATGCAGCAAGTAACGTGGGACGACCAGCTCAGCTTCTTCTCGCAACAAGATCAGCTCTGCACTGCCGTTTCTGGGATCTTCAGTCATGCGAGACGTATGCAGCTCTTCCACCCCAATGCAACAGTTAAATTAGCCCAAGTCGACTTCGACAAAGAGGATTTGTATCAACGTGGTCTCAGCAGGACTGCGATGTTTAGGATCTCCGGCTTTGGAGCGGAAGACCAATTACTCCAACAGGACAGAGTCTACAAAGCTCGTGATTGATAAGATGAATCGGAGAGGTCCCATCGCGCCGCCGCAATCGCTGCTCTCTCATATGGCAATGCTGGCAGCTTGGTTCAACCCGTCCACAATACGACTTATTTGTGGCCAATGCTGGCGACTGCAGATCATGTAAAGGGTCATCGTAGTCGATTAAACTCTGAAGACATCCAGTATGGACCCGAACTACTCACGACTTGGCAAGCTTTCGTCTCTTCAAATTTCCTTGGCATTCGCTCTTGGCTGAGCTCGGAAGCCAATGTCAGACATCACCGATATGCAGTCTTGACATGGCTCTCGACTATGGCATTCTCCAAGTCTGCAGACTTGCGAATCTTGCAAGCGTTGGCTGCCTTTATGCCAGGGAGAGTGCTCTCCTCCTTCGTCGGACCAGACGCAGACAACTTCAACCCCCCATTCGGTATTGAGTGCACCGAACGTGTCCTGCGTGCGAAAGTCCGCAACCACTCGTTGGGCTATCGACAGAGTCGGGAACACCAGTGGAACCGTCGTCGAGACGACTCGAAACGAAAGTATGATGATCGCCGTCACTCCAGCTACACGAGCGCCCATGAGCGAAAGATCTCGGCTTTTGTGAATGGGTTACTGGCGCAGAAACACACGGCAGATCCTGAAACTCCATACGTCGATGATGTAGCATCATACCTGAGAATCGAGGATGCTATGTCGGATATCCGTCCCTTGTTCCGATCTTGGCACAATAATCGGTTGCCGTACGAGTATGTATCTGAGCTTGAAGGGAGTATCGCGGCCTCGACAGTCACTACTTTCCGCGTTCTTGCGCTTGATCTGCAACCACCACAGCAGTGGACGGGTGTCGTTGGTTTCGTCTCCGTGAACGCCCTCTTCGAAGCGGCGGCTCCTGTACTACCAATGTCTTCCTGGACGCTCGAGTCCCATCCCACTGTGACATGCCAAGAAAGGAAACCGTTGCTGAAGAGTGGTCCACTTCTCAGCTCGTTCGTGGAAAGCCTGGAACAAATCATTGGCCATCGCAGGTCCGAGAGGAGATATCTGGCAGATCTTGAAGGTAGCTTGAGAGCTCTACAAGACACTTATCAAGGGTCCGATGTGGTGGATTCCTCCATTCGGCCCGCCCACGTGTACGTAACGTACAATCTCTTCTGCGAGCGGCAAGTTCGAGAACTTTATGAAATCATCGAAAGTAGACTGAGAGCGCATGTAGCGACCTCTGCGCTGACTGTGGTGCATCATTGGCCAAGGATCTCACCAATGCTTCTCTTAGAGCAGCTCTCACGAAAGCAACGACTCCTTCGATCTCACGAGTGGCGTAAATGCCTGGTTGGGTACGGCCTTGCTTTGACAGCGATGCAACGAGCTCGGCGTCTACTTGATCTGGCCGAGCGTCCACTCGAGTTGGAAGCAGAGCTTCGAAATGTTGGTCACCAGAATTGGAGCGCCCTGGAGTATCCGGATTCGCTTCTGATAGAGATTGAAGGCGGCATATTGATTCGAGAGGAGCAAGAAGGGATCGCCGTAGAGATGAGAAACGGTCGTGAGACACATAACGTGACCATGCAGATGAACATGGGAGATGGCAAGAGCTCGGTCATTGCACCGATCGTCGCCGCAGACCTAGCGGATACGTTGCAGCTGGTCCGAATGATCGTGGCGAAGGGGCAGTCGAAGCAGATGGCCCATACATTGATCGCTAGGCTTGGTGGTCTGGTCGATCGTCGAATATATTATATGCCAGTCTCGCGGTCTCTAAGGTTTACTAAGGATGAGGTCCCAATTGTGGCAGAACTTCTCCAAGAATGTATGGCGGAGGGTGGAGTGCTTTTGGTTCAACCCGAGCATATCCTGTCCTTCCAGCTTATGGTCGCCGACAACGCCATCGATGGAACTACGGACACTGCGAAGACATTGTTGAGCGTGTTGAGGTTTCTTGATGACTATGCTCGCGATATTGTTGACGAGTGCGATGAGAACTTCAGCACACGCTTCGAGCTCGTGTACACCATGGGTACACAGCGCACTATTGAGTTCAGTCCAGATCGTTGGATTGTCCTCCATCAATTCCTCGATGTGGTCAACGAAATCATGCCATCAATCCAGTCCGAGTCGCCACAGTCGATCAAGATCGGGCCGCGCTCTCCCGGTATCTTCCCAGGATGTCGCATCCAACGGCAAGACGCTGGGACGCTTTTGATAGGGCGGATTGCAGACCATATCTGCCGTTTCGGTCTGGAGGGATTTCCAATTGCCAGACAACCACCAAAGGTACGGAAGGCTGCTTGCCATTACATGGTGGAGACGGAGGTGAACGACAGTATCATGGAAAATTTGGAGGCTGGTGGCTTTCTGAACGGCGCAATATATCAACAGCTACTCTTGCTTCGTGGTCTCTTGGCCGGTGGTATCTTAGTGTTTGCTTTAAGTCGAAAGAGATGGCGAGTGAGCTATGGACGGGCCAATCGACTCCCCCCCACGCGATTGGCCGTACCGTATCGTGCTCGAGACACGCCGACGCAACGGAGCGAGTTCTCACATCCCGATGTGGGCATTCTACTCACGACGCTGTGCTATTACTACGACGGTCTGAATAACGACGATCTTCTCCTTGCGCTGAATCATCTCATGGAGTCGGATCGAGGAGACATCGAGTATCAATCCTGGGTGAGAGAAGTCCAAGTGCTTCTGTCCGTTCTCCGCCATCTGCAGGGGATCAACCTGAAGGATGAGCTGCAGTGCGCCTCTGAATTATTCTCATACCTGCGATACGTCAAGAAGGTGGTCGATTACTTCCTATCACACATCGTCTTCCCGAAAGAGATCAAAGAATTTCCCACGAAGCTCTCCACGTCCGGCTGGGATATCGGCAAGACGAAGAAGCGCATCTTGTCTGGGTTCAGTGGCACGTGCGATTCACGACATCTCCTACCCTCGGCTGTCAAACATCTGGACCTACCTCGTCAACAGCACACGAACGCTCTGGTACTTGAGTATCTTCTCCAGCCCCAGAATTCTGTCCATATGATGGATCGATCTGAGGTTCGTGATGAGATTTCCGATGCTGAGCACGCGCTGAATACGGTGCTGAAGCTCGAGAGGCCAACTCAAGTGATTCTTGATGTTGGTGCCCAGATTTTGGAGCTATCGAATCTAGACTTCGCCGGAGAGTGGCTTCGGCGGACTACAGACATCAAGAAGGCTGCTGTAGTCTACTTGAATGACTGCGATGAGATCTGCGTAGTCGATCGTCGAGGTAGGACCGATCTTCTGCACACCTCTCCATTCAATGCAAGATTGGAAGCATGCTTGGTATTCCTGGATGATGCCCACACTCGTGGCATAGATTTGAAGCTGCCCAGAGATTATCGAGCGGCTGTCATTCTGGGCCCACATGTAACGAAAGATCGACTTGTCCAGGCGTGCATGAGGATGCGTCAGCTCGGCAAGGGACAAACGCTTGCCTTCTGCGTACCGGATGAGGTGCGTCTTGAGATGGAAGAGATGATGGCCGCAGTACCGAATACATCTCTCGGTGTGGAAGAGATCCTCAAGTGGGCGATCATGGAAACCCAATCAGACATCCGCCGTAGCACCCCTCTGTGGGCTGTCCAAGGCCGACGTTTCTTGACACACGAGAAGATCTGGGGAAAGGCCATCAAGTCTTGTGATACATCGGAGGATGTGAGCCTTATGAGTGAACTGCTAGAAGACGAAGCTCGGTCAATGAAGATTCGATATGGAATAGACCGCTCATCGAACGACGCTTCGCATCTGGATCGCTCGAAGTCTCCGGCTATGAAAGCGATCGCTACTCGCTGCGCGGAGTTCGAAGGACTCTCCTTTCGCTCCAGCTCCTTACACGAGGAGCAGGAGCGTGAGCTTTCTCCCGAGATCGAGCAAGAACGCCAAATTCAGAGAGCACCTCCAGCCGCTGCGGAAAAGCATCAAGTGCATCCCGATCTGTCAATATTTGTGGAGACGGGTGTTATCAACTTGAAATCTACTGCCTACTTCCCTGCCTTTCAGGCACTGGACGACTCGAGCATTGCCCAAGACTTCGATCTATCGCAACTCGACTGCGCCAAGCAGATGTTTGTCACCAGTGATTTCGCAAGGACTGTCCGAAAAGACGGCGTTTGTTATCAATCTGATGCGTTCCAGCGTCCAGTGCAATGGATTCTTACAGGTCTCTCCTCCGACTCAACGATTGTGGCATCCCTCCTACTCATCAGTCCGTACGAGGCAAATCTTCTATATCGTACGATGAAGTGTGAGAACAAGACGTCACTTCATGTCTATAAGCCTCGGACCAACGCCGCGTACCGTGCGCTAGATGATCTGAGCTTCTATTCTGTGCCGTGCCGACCTTCGCAGGTGTCTATCCCGCGTAGTCTTGCTCTCCAGCTGGACTTGTTTGCCGGACAACTATACCTGTCATCCTACAGCGATTATATGGAGCTTTGCAGCTTTCTTGGTTTGTACACAGGCTCCGTTTCAGACGCTATGGCAAAGTCCGGATGGATCGTGGCTCCTGATGGCTTCATCAACCGAGATGGCGAGGGTCGTATTGGCGGAGAATCAGGTTTGACCAAGAGTCCCGTCAGCTTAGCCAGAAGCCTCTTGTCCAAGATTCGAAGGGACGGCAGAAGCATCGCGGGGACGCATATGGGAAGCCTGCTCAATGGTCAGCTACTGCGAGAGTTGGAATTTCGCATAGGATGATCTTGATCTGGCAGTAATGAAGTTATGTATCTTAGACGAAAGTATCTTGTGCATCAATCCTCCCAATTTCTGGACAGACTGCCCAGTGTGGGGATCTTACGCTCCATTTGATTCCTTCTGTCCAGGGGCGTATCGAACCTCGAGCATCCTTACCGTCCTGGAGCGACGAGCATTCCCAATCGAAGGGCTTTGGAAAGGTACATTCCGATGCGTAAAAAGCTGAAGGAACATGGCACGGTATTATATCGCAGGGCAAGACCTGCCAAGATCTCAGGGGATTAGTAGAGGCTGATGGTAACCTCAAAATACCCACCTCCTAGACCGTCTTCTTCACTTCATCCATTTCGTGAGCCGTCAAATTTCGTGATGTGAATAGTGGTCTCGTACATGTATCCTCCTCTTTCGTGTAACACAGGGCGGTCTCTGCACTTTGCGCAACACTTTCATCGTCTCCAGCTTCCCACTGCATAAAACGAGGTTGACCTATGCCTCGCTACCAGCACGTCTGGGATTTCTCTTCGCAAGGAACAGATAGTTTAGGCTTGGATTTTGAACTCCTAGACAGGATAAATATCGACCCTCCTCGGGACCATATCCACTGGTGTGTCGCAATTCCGCAAGAAGCTGAGCTGTGTCTGTAGAACCAGCATACGTCAGGCAGCCATTATACAGTTGATCGACTTCAACATATCCTAGATTGAGTGGTCGGGTGACGAAGAATGTTGCTTCACCTATGGAGGTGAAGTTGGTTTCGGAGAAATGCTAGTAGGATTAGTCGACTGTGCGAGAACCAAGATGCAAGTAAGCGAAAAGGGCGTTGAAATGAGAGAGTACTATGAGATGCTGTCGCAGTGAACGATGTCGTGGATGGCACGCAAACCGCCCTCAGCTTTCAACAAGTTGTAGGGTTCCGCTTTCTGCTTCTACATCGGCTCTTGTGCCTCTTCTACTTTATACTGCGCATATAGTTTGTGATATTTCAGTCGGCATCGTCGCATCTGAAAGCTGCTTCCATATCTGTTCTGCTGAAGGCCGTATCTACGTCGATGAAATCTTCCGCCGATCAGACCGATTCATTCGGTTGCTCGAACTCGTGAAGCTACCCTGCCATGTAGCACGCGGGCCGTTGCCAGTGGCCACCTGCTCGTCACCATCGGACGAGGCAGAGAACGCAGAGATGGTAGCCGGAACAGGACTGCTTCGGCCTGCCGGAAATGGTGTCTCGTAGATCTCCAAGATTCCTTCCAACAATGACATGCTCTCCGGGTCGTTCGGCTCTAAGTCCTCCGCACCGTCCAGCTCCTCGTTGTCGAGTTCCCCTGCAATGATACGCTCGGAGTTCGGATGTGATGGTTGACTTGGCACTTTAGAAGCTCGGGGCGGCTGTGAAGGTTGCATAAATGGCACTTCCACCTTCTCGAGTGTAGGCACACGAACAAAGTGGTTACTTCGCCGCCAGCGAAGAAGAACCATACTAACGCCAGCAAAGATGAAGAGGCATGCGAGCGCAGCAGCAGTGATGCCAGACGCTTGTGCCCTTGTTAGGTTGCTGGCAGATGTCTGAGTCGAAACGGACTGGCCCGGTGCTGTGGTAGGAGTCGCAGAACTTGTTATGAGGATAGTAATGTACGAAGCGGACTGTGAAGCCGGCGTAGGCGCCAAAGTCGTCGTAATGGTTATGGCAGTAGGGAAGGACGCCAAGGATAATAGGGGGCCTGTACGATTGCAGGCCAATAATTTTACGTGATTTTCATTGGAGTCGCTGCTGTTCCAGCTTTTCTGTCGAGAAGACAATAGCCGCGGCGCCATGTTGTATCTGTATCGATAATTCGAGGAACATCCGTTTTCTTCCACCGGGCATCACAGCGCCCCTTATAATCGCATCGCAAACCATGCGCTGCGTTGGCCATGTTTATAAGAGCGTGCCGTTTCACCTTCGATGCCGTGCCACCGCAGCAGAGTTCGCGCGAAGTCGGTCGCCCTATGCACGTACGCTCATATGGAAGGAAGGTGGCACAGCAGCGCGTAGAAATCTGGATACCATGCACGCCACTGGCCGATGATGCCAAGCACCAAAAAATCAGCCTATGGTTTGACCGCAACCAGGAGCATCTTCCAGAATCATGTTGTACCTTCTACGTTACTTCTCTTCGCACCATGTTTTCCGCTTCGATTCCGAAGCAGGAGTACAATTAGCTCCTTCTTGTGTCGTCTCTCCCTCGGGCACAGCGGAACGCTGTGCAAGCACGTCCATCTGTGGCAGTGTCATGATAGCCGCTGTCAGGTTCCTGGCTTTGACTTCGACTATAGCGCTCTGATACTTGACGATTGCTAAGCCATAGACTAGTCAAACCTTGATCCAGAGGCCTTGAAATCGGCAAAGCTTTGTACACATCCAACACTTTGACGTCGTCGGCACAGTCAAAACTTACACACTTTTCGTTCCTACTGCGCTTATCATTATAGGCTGTGCTAAAAGTGATCGACGCCGCAGGCGGCTAGACAAGTAACATACTACTGCATACGCCATCCATTGCATCAGCATTATCCCTCGGCACAGCCACGCTCCCATCAACCAGATGGCTCGTTTCGGGTCGATAGGATGGCTGCTTGATTGCACCACATGTTCAGATGCTCGGTACAACGCCGCTTGAAGGGCAAGACGTGTGAAGCAGAGTGTATAGAGAATCTAGTCAGAATCTTGACTGTACTGCACAGTAGGGACTAACAGTTCTAGCTTATAGGAACGAGAATATATGAACCGCTGCCCGCAAACATGTTTTATCATCTCGGGATCTTTATCACCTCGGGGTCGTTGTCACCTCGCTGTCGTTGTCACCTCGCGGTCGTTGTCACCTCGCGGTCACTGTCACCTCGGGGTCGTTGTCACCTCGCTGTCGTTGTCACCTCGCGGTCGTTGTCACCTCGCGGTCACTGTCACCTCGCGGTCACTGTCACCTCGCCGTCGTTATTACCTCGCAGACCTTGTCACCTCGGGGTCGTTATCACCTCAGGACCACTGTCACCTCGGGGTCGTTGGCACCTCGGGGTCGTTGGCACCTCGGGGTCGTTGGCACCTCGGGGTCATTATTACCTCGCGGTCACTGTCACCTCGCGGTTACTCTCACCTCGCGGTCACTGTTACCTCGCGGTCGTTGTTACCTTGTGGTCACTGTCACGTCAGGGTTGCTGCCTCGTAGTCAATCCTAGCTGACTTAGCTTGTTCAAGTATCGTCCACTGGCGCATAGTACCGTCAAATTACTCACATCATTTTGGCGAACGCGAGAGTGGATCGGATCGATTCGATATCATGAACGCAAGGAAATGCGATACGTTGCATTATAGGCGCAATTATACAGTGCGAGCTCAATATAGAGTATCCTATATAGATTGCTAAATGACTGAGTTGAATTCATAGCGACGCCAAGACAGATAAACGAATGGACGGCGGCTCCAGGCCTACCAGAGAATCCTCCTTGTCAATACAATCTGTGATCTCGAAAGATAGGAGGCCTGTCAAAGACCATCGTCGGGATGGTAGATAGTGCTGGTTATAGTGGTCGTGGAGGTCGAGGTCGAGGTCACGGTCCTCGTGGTGGCGGAGTCCACTTCTGTTTGATCTGCCTTATACCATGCAGTCTGGGAGATCAAAGTGTCCCATGCAGCCCCGGGATTCAGAGTAAATAGGGTACCGTCGGTACGTGTACAGGCCGTATTGCTTCTCGAGCAGCAGAACCATCGAGGCTCTAAAGACGTGATCTCCACAATCGAAGATCCGCTGGGGTCTCTCCTTATGCTTGTAGGAGGACTTCGTGGCATACATGGCTGCTCTGATGAAGTCTCAATAATGGCACTGACGTTGTCAGATGGAGCATCGAAGGCCACCAGATCCCTGAGATTTCCTTCAATGTACCGAGGAATGAACGTGTATTCGCCGTCGTGGTTGACCTTGACGTGATGGATCGCGCCTCCAGTCTCGTCCGATGTACTTGGAAGACATAAATGTAAATTGCTTGTTGTTTGGGTTCGAGTACCTCGTCCAAACACACCACATAGTCCGAGAAGCCTTGTCGCCCATCGTCCTGGCTGCCGGTTTCGTGTGGCGCGACTGGTGGCAAGGGAAGGCTGATAGGGTGCTAGTGAGCTAGCACTGCCATAACTTGCACTTCCAGTGCCTCCGGAGCCGATAGCAGACGTGGTAGATCGATTGCTGAAGTATGGCCCAGAATTGACAGTAATGTGATCTGGCTGAGTTGTGGGTGGCAAGACACAAAGGCTTGCCGTCGGTGGGGCTGTGCCTGGAGACGATACCGCTGTGCCAACCATGCTGGTGTAATAGGCTCCAGGTTGGGTTGAGTAGAAGTATGCAACACTGCTCATCGTGACGACTGAGCCGGGAGAGGTGTATGTTGCCGCATTTGATGCTCCGCCTGAGGGAGAAGTAGTGATGGAGGCGCCCGCGCCCTGTGCCGTTGATGATCCACTAAGAATCGCTATGTTATTGGGAGTTGTAGAAGAAGATCCGCCAAGGAGACCGGAGATCGAAAGTTGACAAGCTCCATGGTCACAAGAAGCACCACCAACGCCTCCTTCCAACTGTAAAGCTGCGACAAAACGGAGTGTAGCGAATGTTGTGAGATAGTACAGTCGAGCCATATCGGATGCAACAACGCTGGGCACAGAAACACACCTGAAGCTATATGTAGTCTCAAGTCGTTAGGAGCATGTTGACGGTCTAAACACAGAGATCTAGTTTGAGTTAGCTCAATACAGTCACACTATATATAGCAATCTACTATTTGTGGCACCGTTCCATGCAGTCTAACACTGGCCCTTCACCTCTTTCTTACTTTTCGACCGAGACTTCTTCGGGGGAAGTACATTTTGGTTCATTTCTGTCCGTGGGGCAATAGCTGGTAGGAAAGCGTCCTGGTTGTTGTTGACCTGATGATGTGCAGGCTGTGGATGGGGCAAGACTGAGTCTACGGCATTCAGCTGCGATGACGCGTTGAGCATTGAGGGTCCAGCTCCGCCATCTGACTGATATGGCTGTGCGCATGATACCGCAGTTGGAGTTGCATTGGTCGGAAAGCCGCTCACGCCACAATGAGCACGCCACAGAGCGCCTTGGTGGGTCTCGAGTTCTTGTGAGCCACACGATTGCGCGATATTGAGCAAAACGCGAGTGAGTTCGGCTTGCTGCTCAGTATAATGACGGTTGTAGTCCCTCAACACCGTGATCGTATCATCCTTGCTTGTGATGTTCCTTCGAAGCTCTTCAATGTGCAAAATGTATGCAGCGAGGTTACACTGAGCCTGACGTAGCTGATCCTGCAGCACATTACCATGCGCAATTGCTGTATCGCGACTTTGATCGCTCTGCAGTTTCTCTTGCACGAGGGTCTCATGAGCATGCGCGAGGGTAGCATATGCCGTGGATTGGGCCGCTATCTGTCCACTCAGACTCTGGATAGTGCTGATCAGGTCATTATTGCGCAGGAACTGCTGAGGGACAAGACCGTGCGAGGACTGTAATGTTTTGTTAAACCCAGTGCTGTATTCGGGGAGGACCTGAGAAGCATACCACATTTGAAGGACGTGCCAAGTCATCGTCGCAATCGAACACAGGTTCCGGGAACCAGTCACAGCTGGCGTTACATTGCTCGAATGCTGACGATGGTAGAGCACAATTGACAAGCGCATGTGCTTGAGGAGCTGACGTTGACCCGTGTGCCTCAGGCTTAAATGCTTCCGCTTGAGCCCCAGCCATGGTTGACGCAAAAGTCGGCTTCGGCTTCTGGAGCAGTACGGTAGCCGGACGTCTCCTTATATGGCCGACAGCAGTCCTCACATTCACACAAGCATACACGAGACAGCCTGAGCTATATAACCAGTCAGATCTATTTTGGGCGTTGGCCGGTCGTATGGGCGAGCGTAACTCTGTAGCACCTCTTGTAAAGGGTGAGTATGAAATTCAAGTTGGGAAGCATGCTATTATGGTGTCCACTTTCTCATTCAGAGCGAAGAGTGTGCTAATCTCTACCATCGCTAGACCACCTTTCTGATTTCATACTGATGGCCTCCATACGTCCTCTGCTGCGACCATCGTACTTTCTTCCTTGTTCTTCTCCAATCGCTGGTGGAACGGTGTAGTTGCTTCGAGGAACTCGAGCCGTTGATACTGGTTGTAACGTTAGTAGCATAACCTGTGATTTGATACTCGGTTGTCGTACCTGCTTGATTGACTGGAGTATCATTTTCGAGAACACCAATTGGCGCGAAATCAATTCATCGTCGTGTGCGCTGATCCAAGACTGTACTTTGACCAGATCAAAGGTCCTCTCTTCTAACTTGTATAGACCTGGATTACTCGCCATCAAGAAGATGCAGCGGTTATGGATGCACCCAGCATGCTTTTCCTTGGCACGTAGCAGTAGCATAATCTCACGGATCGCTTCCGGAAAGACTCCCCTCGAAGAATAGAACAGGACAATGACATCGTCCGAGGCGTGCCAGTCGTTGCAGCAGTCCATAGTAGTAGGGGTGGGGGTTGACCCTCGAAAATGAACCCTACATCTACGAAGGAGGCAGGATGCCCAATGTGACTCGATATTGACTTGCCATGTCCTGCAAATAGTGTTGTATCTTCCGGGATCTTAGGCCGGATATTTATAGCACTACTTAAAGGCAAAGAGCTGCGTGCCCATCCTCCATAGGGATGCTTTTCGTCGAGCTCGAAACCCTACTCGATGCCCAGGAAAACGGTGCACTGGCGTCGACCCAGTGTCGAAGCCATTCTCGACATCCCTACCAAGCGCGAACAAGTCGCCCTGAACCGATTTCATGGCCATGCTTCAATTTGCAGATCCTGCTGCGGTCAATCACGACAGCGCCGCCTAATTTGGTTTTGTCCCGAAGGTTACAGCATTGCTCAGGACTTGCGTGAACTGCTCTATAGCAGGTCCGGTCGTATCTACGTCAATCCTCGACATCGTCAACACTGGGTGACTATGGTTCACGTCCATTGGTCGCTCTATAGGGCAACAAATATGCTTAGGCATCTCGAGACTCTGCGACCGGTCATGATATCTGCCTACTCTGATTACCCGCCATTAGAAGGAAGTGATCTGAGGACTTCGATCCAAGCTGGGATATGGCAGAGCGATCTGCAAGTCTGTGGAACATGTGGTAGACCGTGGAACGTTGTTACCCCGGGTTCAGACCGACTTCCAACAGCCACTGTACGCTACGCATGTCGTAGCTGCATCCGTCCTCCGCATGCTCCGCTACCAGCATACGACGATCGCTACCACACTACCGACTCTGGATTCTTGGGAGGAGACAAAAACACAACAAGAAGGCAATGGTCGAGACGAGTAGAGCAACGAGGGAATGAGACAAGACGGATCGACCGTATCCATATCCGTCTATCTTCGGTTCTTTGAGATCATATTCATCCAGGCATTCTAAATTCGAGATTAACCCTAATATTTTTCTTGATCATATCTATGAAGACGTGCCTTTGGAGCTCGTCCCGCGCTTGACACGTTTGGCAGTCCCGCTGGTAAGGCTTGTATTGCTTGGACGACGCTTGACCAAAACCGACACTGGACGATCGTCACGTTTGCGGCACTCGCATGACCAGGCCAGCGTATCTGCTACTTCTTCGTCGTAGAATGGCGTGTCTAGATGCTGTTGTGTGGAGAACCAGGCGACAGTTTGCGGGAAACCGCTTATCTGGCGTCGACGTTCTCCAAGTGCCAAGGCTATCGAGACCTTCTCGGTGGGATGACGCACAAAGAAACAGACCTTTTTGCAGAATTTGTTGCAGACGTAGCATTTGTCGGTTTCGAAGTCCATACATCCCAGTGATTGCTGGTCGTTCCAAAACCCGATCGAGCCGGTCTTATCGATGGACCTGAGACCCATCAATATCTTCATATGATCCCCTCTAAGACGGATCTCCCCTTGGCATACGTAGAAGCCGCACGAATCGAACTTCGGTGCACGTCGCAGTTCGAAGAAGAAGCTTGACGCAAGAAGTGCGAGCTTGACCTTGTTTAGTTGTGCGTCGTCTTTAGTTGCAGTAACGTGGCGAGACAGATCATCTATAGCTGAAATATCGTCCAGACGAGGCTCAGGGCCTGCAAACTCTATGTTGAGCCGGAAGTAACGGTCCAAAGCTTTCTTCCCGAGCGAGCATAACAGACTCCGCCAGGTGAGCTCGCCGTCCAGACTGGTCATGAAAGATCGACAAAGACGAGGGATGAACTTCGCTTCAAGCGTACGACGATCTGGATTGTTATAGGGACTCGGTGTTCCTGCTGCTGTACCTGTACCAAGTGACAGGACCGCATCCGTGCAATTACGCGGCCAGATACGATTACTTTCCCATAGGGCGATGTTGATAGGATTATTGTGGCGGAGTGCGCCGTCTTGGAAGGTCCCCAGCCCGTTCAAATCGAATGGAGCAAACATCCTTCCTCTTATTAATGGGATGCCCGCTGAAACAAGGGGACAGGACTTACCCTGGTGCTGCCGATGTGGCACGTCCGCTATAATTTCTGTCAGCGTTGCTATTGAAGAGATGTGGAAGAACATACGCTTGCCACAACAGCGGCTCCAGCGCCGAGTCCTTGGGCCTGATGGTATCGTACCCTGTCATGTCTGTTAACCCCTGACTGGATCAAGATCCCTGCCAGCTTACCATGGTTGGTACCGATATAGGCGGCACCGTTATAGTTCGTGATGATCCTCGTCGAGGCTCGGCCGGTAGTCGTTGTTGTTACCGCCATCTTGATTTGAGATACTCCTGTTTCGGGGTAGTCAAACATCCTTGTGTGTTCCCCAAAACTGTCCTGCAAGGTCTTGTTCAAGCCTTCTGACTTGTAGCAACTGTCTCGTACAATGCAACGCACGTATGACTGAAGTCGTGCCAACGAAGGAAATCTTTGGGTCAGTGGCGTGGAAAAAAATCTTCTTGCAAGGCCACGGAACGTCTGAACGGCCTCATGAATATCCCATTGCTTGGCAAACAGACCCAGCACGACTAGGCCACCTTCGTCTTGTTAGCGTAGCTCCTGCACAGCTGGTGAAGCACATACCTGCACTTGTGCCGAGCGCCAGGTCGAACAAAGTCTGGACACGGCAGGACGTTCCGAGCGACCGTTGGAGCTGAGATAAGAATTCCAGTGGAACAATCCCTCGAATGCCACCACCATCCACGCTGATGATTCGGATCCCAGCTGTCGGTGGCTTCAGCCGCACGAGCAAATCCGCATTCTTGTTACAGACCAAGCAAGTATCGAACGCGAAAGAATATTCCTCGTACTGTCGGGGAGCGCCGAAGCGCTTCGTGCACAGGTCGCATACGGTGTGCCTACACTTCAGGACATGCTCAGGCCGGCTTAGCAAGCAAATCGAGCAGAACATGTTGCTATAAGTGCAGAGCCACAGATCGCGAACGGATTCATGTTGTACTCGTATCTTGTGGAGTGCTGGTGCGCTGGTTTTGCCTTCATGCATAAGCTCCCAGCCACGGACAAATTCGCGATGGATGTGATCGACAGTCTGAGAGCGAAGTACACGATGTGCGTGTGATGTGCTGACTGAAGAGCTCCGCTGTAGGTATACGTCGAGACACTTGACAAGTTGGGCTTGATAGAGCTTGCGAAATGTCAACTGGGGGGAAAAGTCTGGCTGACCGTTAGTGCACTCGCGATCAAGACTGGGGGCACTCACGGTGCGAGCTTCGAGGGTATGCATCCATAAGTAGGCTCGTTGCAATCACGGTCACAAGGGCGCCATGCGGAGGGCCTTCAAGAGTGTGCAGGACCGCAGTAAGACAGTCTGCCAGGTTCGGTAGGGTGCTTACACCACGCCGGCTGGCGAGGAAGACGTCGAATTCGGCGACCGAATCCGACACCGTGTGCTCCAAGCACTGGGAGAACAGTGAAGCAAGGTGAGTCCCGCAGAAAAGCCTCATACCTATGAGACGCTCGGCTCGTGCTGCTTCAAGTTCATGATCGGCCAATCTGCGTCGTAGCGCCGCGTAACGTGCACCCTTCGACCCGGTCCCGAGCACGTACTCCACTGAGATGGACCCCAGCATCTGTAACTGCTCAAGCTTGCGAGCATCGTCCAGGAAGTCGGCCTCGTCAAGATCGGCGGAACTAGAGCCATCCTTAGATGAGGAGACGACAATAAAGCGCGTGTTGAGCGGACTCGACGCTTTGGGTCCTGGAACATCTTCGCATGAACGTATGAATCGTAGGACGCTGCTTAAGCCTCCGAAATCGTCGGCGAAGATGCAGACCACATCAGAAAAGGGAAGAAAGACGTCTCGGACCAACTGCAGGCGGACGCTTTCCGCGACCTCTGCTGATTGTGCCGGGAGCGGCCGGAATTGATGGCAAAGCGACTGTGCATGGTGCACCGCAGGCCCGCTGGTCACATCAATGTCCAGCAGGATAATAGGATGGTCGCTGTCCTTCGTACTGGAATCCAAGAACGCATTGCACAAGCTAGGATGTGTTTTGCATGCAGTAACCTTGTCGGCTAGGAGGAGCTGTTCGACTGCGACCTGTTTCTCTGTTGTGCCGATACATGCTAAGACCAAGGGCCGCTGAGCATCGCCATCCGGGAGCTGGTCTATCAGACGTTGGAGGCGCAGCGAGTCGGCGAGAGAGCTCTGTGTAGACGAGAGATGTTCGATGACAGCTGAGTGCTTACAACGCCGCATCGTCGGCAGTGTACAGTATAATGAAACGAGGGAGATATCTCGTGGCATGTTCTGAGCAGCGATACAGGCGTTATAGACAAGCAGTATCTGCTGCGACAATATAGGCGCTAGAAATAGCAGGAAAGAGTGGCTAATAATAAGTACGCTTCGATCACATCCCTACGTCACTCTCAAGCGTACAAGATATCTGCTGATTTCTGAAATAACATCATCGTCGAAGTTCCTCTATGGCCCAACGTGCTGTACACGGCGAGGGCTTGGGGAGTTTCTTCCTATGCAACGCTATGATCAATATCACACAAATGGACTTCGAGCCTGGCGTTCGCGACTTCGACGAAGCTAATGTTGTGCGCCTCCTCGGCATCTTCAAGCAAGAGGGCTGTCAGAGACATGATTCGGCTACTTATGTGCCTGCGATCCTCGTCAGCGGCGGTCTAAGTCGTCTGCAGCATGATGGCGAAGCTCTTCAAGACCTGAGAACTCAGAGTCCAGCCTTCACAGTCAAATGCTTGCACGGAAAGCACAGAGTGCTGGCGGCCAAGAGATTCCTCCCCAGCCACGACCAATGGTGGCCGGTAACATTATATACTCCTGGTATATCCATCGGATTGAACAAGGCTCCTTTACAAGCTTATCATCACAGACATGCCCGACATCCTCCAACAAGCCATTGTAGAAGAGTATCGCAATGAATTAACGTTCTCCGACGGCGATATCTTTCGTTCTTATCGAATAGCGAAGGACAAAGGAGATCGCAAGAGTGAGGAGAAATGGCTCGCTCGCCTATCGGCTGTTAAAAAGAGGAACATCCTGCAATTGCAAAAGGTCGACAACGGCGACCTCATCAATGGCTTTGATCGGTTATTGCCCTTTCTTGGTATGTGGCAGCACTTTCTTATCGGAGCGCTCAGCGGGGCCCTCCCAACCCACATGTGGCAGGTAATTCCGACCCTTTCCATGGCTGGTGATGATAAAGAGGCTGATGTTTGGGATGTCAGGAGATGACTCAATACCTCAGGCATATCCACGAGCAGTGGTCTAGAATCATGGGCGAGATCGATCCCGCGCACGCAACTCCGCACGCGGTATCATGCTTACATCGCAGAGTTCCAGCACTGTCTTCATCCGATAGCCAGTTCGTCGAGGATACAATCGGGTCTTTATTCCCACGACTTGAAGAAAACCAGAGAGATGCCCTGCTCTCGAGGGTGCTACAATGCTCAAGGATCCTGTCGTTAGAAACGTTTTTCGCGGACATCATTTACTTGGAAGTCTGTTACAGCTCACTGCGGGTCATGCTCCCAGCGGGTCGCGAATGTGTGTCCAAAGGAGTTCAATCAGCGTTTCGACGTCTCTACACCTCGGGGTCATCAGACTTCGAGCACTCATATCTCAAGCTTGGGCTGTATTGGATGCGACACTTCCCTGAGATGTCTGACAATAAGGCTTGTCAGCCACGACAGCAGGGTAAAGGGAACAGGTACCACAAAGTGAGAGTACATGATGGCAGGACGGCGGCCTTCCTTGCGTATGCAAGCTCATTGGGCTTCGACACATCCTACGCGCCCTCTTTGGTTGCAGAGCCCTCTCCAGATACCGAGGAGGCCTCTTCTTCTCCACCGCTCAGTACTGACGCCGCAGATCTACCGCTTAACGCCCGGTGTAATAGACCGTACTGGCACAGCTATCTGTCGGATCGGAAGTATGCTTTCATATCCCACATGACAGCAACACGAAGCGCAGAGAAGCGTAGGTATGTGACATCCTTCGCCATCGCCAAGGATATCGTAGAACGATTCTGGCCATGCGGAGTCATCCGAAATACATCAGCGAGTACACTCGAGGATGGTGTGGAAAGCGGCGAACCGATTGTATCGGCAAGGGACGAGACGGGTCCCAGCAGATTGGCAACAACCACAACAATCATTGCTCAGGGCCTCAACTCTGGCAGGCCTTCGACTTCCACACCACCGCCGGGTATCATCATCACACAGCCACCAAACCAGACCGACGCTCTCCGATCATATGAAGCGGACGGTACTTCTCCCTTCAGAGAGTTGCGGCCACCTCTCACTTCGAGACTGACATCCAGTCCCACACCACGTAGCATGTTGCCCCTCCAAGGGGCTAGTACGGCCCTCGTCAGACGCAGGGATGAGGTGGAAGACGATCTTGAGGCCCGCGAGAGAGCACTTCGGCCGCCTTCCTCGATCTACTCTAGTCAGGATGTCACTGGTAGAACGCTCAACGACGAAGTGACGACAGCCCTCGCAAACCTTAGACAGGGCGGCCCTCGGTGGGCAATACTCGGCATTGCCACTGATATTCGGTACGGCTCCGATGGCGCAGAGCTTGAGCGAATCCTTATCCACCACTCCATCACGGGTGCGAATGCGTTGCATTTGTGCCAGTCCACAGGGTCTTCACGACTTATCAGTCCGAGCGTAGTTCAGTCGACAAGCGAATCCTACGATCGTGTATACCTAGTCTCTCCCAAGATACCATCAAGCTGGCAGCCTACATCAACGACGTATCGCGCACGTCCACTTGCTATCCATTTCCCAGGTGCAAGTGCTATCCTGTCACTTTTCATGGAACCTACTGGAGATTCGCGAAGGAAGAGGATTTCGGTATTCAATAGCCGTGACGCTGTGTTGTTTGAGGGCCTTACTTCCATGAGAGCAACGTACTGTCGAAATTTTGAGTTCGCTGGTCGACTCGCGGGACAGGTGCAGATAAGTATACGTGATATGACAATACAGCCAGACTCGACTACAGCCAGGAATGACACTTTGATATTTGTATGCTTCGAGAGATTGTGGATGGAGCAGCTGCCAATCGCAGACGCGGATTTGTGTGAGGAAGACGAGGAGCTGTAGTCAGCCATTGACGCTAGTGCTTTCCTATATATTGCTACACCCTTCTCTTAATCCCTTGTCCTCTTGATGAATATTACGAACGATGAACAATCTCACAAGACGAAACACAGTTTGGCCTCGTGCTGGAGACGATCCTGAGCCTACTCAATCCTCCACCGCAAGTTCGCCTGCCAAGCTATGAACTTCCTTACTAACCGTCTATAGCAGGTCCCGAGCACCCTTGACCCTATGCCTTCTGATCGAAGCCGACCAAGGCCCGGTCTGACAATTGTAGTCCCGCCGCCGGGCCCAGTACCCCCGCCCCCTGCTTTCCGGTCCGGGTCACAAGGTCGAGAGAACCTTGCAAATGCAGTGCAAAATCCATACGTGGTTCCCACTTCCAAGACATTGGGTCATAGCATTGTGGTAACTCGCAAGTCTGTCTGGACAATCTACGACCCTATTGTCGCTCGTAGCAACCAAGGTCACTGTAAGCAAGGATTTGCAATAGTGAGCCGCAGGAGGAAGTTGCAGAGAGGGATAGCCGAGGGCGACGTGGTGGTGAAGGCTCAGCGTCTGACGTTGCCAGCTAGTGTCAAGCACTTCATGAAGCCGAGGTGCCCTGAGCTGGTGGACCTTTATGCAGCTTTCTACCATGGGGACACGCTATGGCTATTGTATGAAGAGATGGAGATATCGCTCGAACAAGTCCTTGCCCTCGATCACAGCCCTTGGGCGATCAACCCAGACCAGCAACATCCGCAGATTAGCGCGATCAGCCTACAAGTACGTGGGTGCACAAGCTATAATCTTTCGGTTGAGATGCTGACCATGAAGCTCTTGCGTGGCATTGACTACGTGAAGAAGTTTTACGGACGATCGTATGGCGAGCTCGTTCCGGAAAACATCTTATTGAATCGCTCTGGGGCTGTCAAGCTGGGTGCGTCTATGCATTCTAGCATTTCCAGATGTGTACTAATATTGCTATGCAGCGAACATCGGCGTCGTGATTTTGCGCGATACCCCTTTGGAAGAAACCAATGACATGCAAGCCTTTGCAGCGATCCTGATTCGACTACTACTGCCGGTTGAGCCCAAGACCAGCGAGACTTTGTCACGACTCGACCCACGAGCTTTCGACTTTTATACATGCGCCCAACAGCACGATCTGGAGCTTTTACTTACGGTGAGTCAAGGAAAGAAATGGATCGAAGTCTACGCTAACTGTGATACAGCATGAATACCTATCCATCGCCAATCCCCAGTCCCTAGCGAAACTCGTCATGTGGACCAGCCAATCTGTATTCAACCCGCCGCTAAATGTGACTTCGCCTATGCTTTTCGTCCAGTGATGAAGAGCTAGACAACTGTGCCTCCATGGAGAGGCAGAGCGTTCTTTGGTTGATACTCCAACTCTATCAATTTCACTCTAGACGTACGGGCGTGCAAGGTTGCAGTTCTAATGTTGTGGCGAAGCTCAGGGAAGGCGGACACTAGGTCTTGTTAGCACGTTCCATTGCTGAGGTGTACAATATACAGCGTACCAACTATAGCGATCTTGGAGGATGCAATCCTCTTGTCATTCACAGTTTCGTTGATATAACCCGGGATATCTGGGATATCAGTCGCTCTTCTTATCCTCTGACCCCAGAAATTAGAAGATCGTTGGTTGGCAGGGTTTATTTTCGAGTGGATTGAAACTTGCAGGATCTAGATCTCGTCAGAGAGAAAGGATACAACAGATGCAGATGTGAACACACGCATTTATCGACATCCGCCTGGAGAAGCTCGTCCATCCAACCACTCATGGGGTCGTATAGTCGATCGGTGTACCACACGAGCCTTATAGATTGCGTATAAGCGGCGGCACGTCTGATGAGCTCCATGAGTCTCTTCATGATCGGCAGGACTGCGAACAGACCAGAACCGGTAGCGAATAGCAGGACACAGCCATAGCGATGGAATTTGGTCACTGGACCATAAGGTCCTTCCAGCCAAGCTCGTCTCATTGGAAGCAATGGACAGTACCGCTGGATGTAAGACGTCCAGCCCCTCTGCTGTTCGATCAGGAGATAGATGTCCTGCACTCCGTTAAACGTCCCTGTGCTGGTCGAGGAGCTATCAGGATTGCTTCGCAGCCCTGATTTGGGTTCACTGCCCCACCAAGCAACGACGAATGGATGCCGCTGGAAAGGGGACAAGCTTCCAGAAAGCACCGTAAGATAGACGTACTGACCTGGGTGAACCAGCAGTGGCCGTGGCAGGCGTAGCTTAAGCATAAGACATCCTTTGGTGCGCGCCACGGGTGTACCAGGATCGACTGGAGTATTCTGTGCCTCTTGCATAGTCTGTTCGGCTTGTGCAATGTACGTGATGTCCAGAGGACTCATGCCAATGTTGCGATAGCACTGGCAAACCATCTGGTAGAGTAGGCATAGAAGGAACGTACTGGTCGAAGTGATGAGAAGCACGCCGGCTAATGTCTCGATTGCGTAGACGTGTGTCCATAGTGTTGTTACCAGGATGACTGCGAAGGCCAAATGGCTACTAAGAAAGACCTCGTAGGCTACATGCCTCCCAAGAGGACCGCTTGTGAGCAGTGCCATCGCGATCACAGCCTAGGCATGTTAGTATAGCTCTCCGAGAGAGGTGTGTCGCATACCATTAGGCCACTCGTCCGCTGCCGCCCTGCCAGAGGGCGCGCATAGGCTAAGACTATGGTGTGAAAGACTGCCTGCACTGTTGCCATGATGCCAAAGGCAGCATGCATGTGCTTCACGGCTACAAGGGGTATACCCAAAGCATGAGCTACCAGGCTGGCCCTTGGAGCTGCAAAGAGCGGGACCAGATGTATCAATGCAATCATGCCAGCCCGCGAAGCCGCCTGCACAAGTGAGTGAGTGCCATAGATGTTGCAGAACACGGTCGATGCCCAGTGTATGATAACGAGCAAAACTTGTGCTCGTGACGGATTGATGCTGCGAAATTCTGGGAATATCCGTGGTTGTATGCAGCATGCCAAGATTCCTGACCAAAGGCAAGATACTAGCGAAAGCAAACGGGTCAAAAGTCTCAGTGCGAGGAAGACCACGAAAGGTCCGAGTAAAGCGCAAAGGTATATGCGAAGAAGGTCCATAGTCACAGTGTATTGTGTACAGATCTGGATTCGAGGGGCATCGCTGCCTCTTAAGGGTGAACGACTCGGTGACAGAAATAGACTTCATGCGCATGGATTGCCGTCTGATAGTCTATATAGGTGTCCAGACGAAAAATTACTGCATTCTTCCTGGTCCTCCCGTATATGGCGCTCAGTCCAAAGCCTGCAATCTCTGGTCTAAACATGGCTGTGTGGCTACGACGATCACGAACACCATCTGATTTGGACGAAGCTCTCGGCGATGAAGCGTCTGGCATTCCTCCACCATCGTCACCCGCTCCCAGACCTGATTGTCTTCTATTACTTCGGGATGGCACTATGCAGCCTGCGTATCGAGACCTGATCCAGGCGTGGTTAGAGGACGCCAGTATCATCGCTGAACGATACACATTGCCTGTGTATGAGATGCCACACAACGTCGAAGCAATCCAGATATGGCTGGCTTTGCAGGAGGGTACACTAAGCGTAGATTGCGAGACGCCAACCGTTGAGTCGCTACTGGATCTTGCGCGGCTATGTACATCCAAGGCCGAAATTCATATGGCTCGCCAACAGATTCAAAAATGGCTGGGTGAGCATCTTGAATCTCCCGCCCCAGATCTTACCGCAGACGTCCTAGAGATCGCACTTCTGTGTGGTTCTCGCTCCGACGTAGTCGACGCGTGTCGAGCGCTGGTGGTGGGTCGAGTCTCCCACGCCGAAGTTGAGCGCGCTGACAGCCTTCTGGGCCTTGTGCCTCCCCCAAGTAAGTGTGAGCCGCAAGTGATACGTACACAGGCTAATTATCGACAAGTGCGCATCGCCACGATGAGAGCGAAACTACAAGACACGATCCGACTTTACACCATGAATGGCTTCGAAGATCACCCGTTCTACCGTTCCACGTCGACTGATCGACATATTTGTCCGGCTAAGGCGATGGAATTGGCGCTCTACGCTCGTGCACTCCATACGGCTTCTTGTTTCCCTTTCCCTGACGATTGTAACTCGATCTGCCTTCACTCGGCGTTGAGTTTGTTTGCCAAGCAGGGCACACATACTGTACACGTGCAAACGTGTACCGAATGTAGCTATGTGTGTCGTGGGCGTCAGCTCGGGCTGCTTCCCATTATTGCACGAACGATCAACGGAATGTGTAAGACCTACATGAGCGACTTCGAGCGGTATATGGCACACCTTCCCACGATGTAAATTAGATCGGTAATCGTACCGAAAGGTCTATATGAACAAACTTTGAATAGCTCCTGTCAATGCCAAAACCTCTAGTGCGAGTTCGGAGCGACCCAGACTCCCTTCATCACCTCGTTCCGTTTCGTCAAGCAACGATCGACAGAGACGAAGTGATTCCGTGACATGCAGCAGGGCTTCATCCATTGGTACGGCAACGACGTCATCCACTGCTCCGTCCTGTTGATTCATCGTATTGTGTGTGGCGAATATTTCCTTCTCCAACGCCAATAGTGTCTCCCTCAAAGTCAGCTGCTGAGGTGTCGAGGAGCTAGCCTGGCTATATTGTCGATAACGCCAGGTTCCTGAGCCGTGGCTCGATGTATCACACCAGGCGGCTTGTGGCGGTGTTCGAGTCGATACCGAAAGCCTCGGACGTTTCAACACCGTCTCTAGACTCGATAAACTTTGCGAACCTAAATCATCTCAGCTTGTCGACTGCCAGACGGGAAGGAGTTGTACGTTTGATTGCTTTGGTGGTCTGAACCTCCGGTGGACGCAGAGAAGTGGATGTCAAAAGGGGAGTTCTGGCGATTGGTGTAGGTAGCAAACTGTCTGGTGAAGCCATGGCATGAGTTTGGAAGTCGAAAGGATGTCGAGGAGTGGAAATTCATATATTGGAAGGAAATTCGCCTCATGTATAATACGCCTTCACGCTAGCTCGACTGGTAGTAGGCGACTTCTGCCTTCACTGATGCCCACAAGTCGGACACAGTTTGTTCGTCCCGCCGACCACAACATTGGCGCCACAGGTATATTTGATAGCAGGCGGGTATCGTCGATTCTGGATTCCCATTAAATTTTCCCACATGACGAACTTGACAAAGCACTTACGATCTCATTAATATCCAACGGCCAATCCTCTGAATCTTCTGACTTATATACGGCAAGGCGCTCCTTGAACGCGAGCACGATGTAGACTTTTGCACCGCATCTATGAGCGAGCTCACATGCATGCTTAATCAGCGTACGCGAACGCTTGCGATAGGAGTCTTTGATCAGGGTTGTAGCCGGCCGAGCCATCTCGAGAAGACGTGAAGAAGCGCCGCCTGAGGGCAGGTCATTGGCTAAATGTACTTTGATCAGAGTGGGTCTCTCTGATCGACACTCCCAACATGCGAACCCTTCAAATACTTCAGACTGAAGTCGCTCGACTTGTTCTGCTCGGCCATACTTTTCGCAATGCAGAACACTCACGAAGAGACCATGTCAAGTACGTGGCTCGAGGACTCCCAGACCACCGTGAACAATGAGCAACACCTGGTCAAGGACTACCAAGCCATGACCGTGAATGATGAACTTCACCCGTCCGAAACTTCGACGTCCTCGATGTTTCCTCCGGAGCTGGATGTTGCTGGATCTGGATCAGGACATGCCTCTCCACCGTAATTAGTCACTCTGATGGACCTCGTGTCATGCATACTGACCTTTGGTTGAACAGTCCAACCATACGCTATAGCAAGTCCGCTGCTTCCTACCCGATATTGATCGCGGACACGACTTCTATAACCGTCAGTCAATTGACTCAGGTCGAGCAATGGCTATTTGACCGGCTCCCGACGACCAGGCATCCTCAGGAGCTTGCCCGTCACTTGCTTCATAACGATGGTCAGCAGATGACCTCCGAGGACGTGATGATGCTTTACCGCATTGCGTACTGGAAATCCAAGCCGTGGGAAGACATCGATACTGTCTCCCTCACCAGACTTGTCAAAGAGGACATGGATCAGATCTGGGATCGAGTGGCAACTAAAGTGTGTATATACCATGTCAAGATGCATGATGCCTTTTTGCTAACACGAACGCAGATGCAGGATGCTGGTCGACCTCAGTGGCCACCTTCAGAGCTTAAGGCGCGGTACTTCAGTACTGGTCCAGTAATCAACAGTCACGCAATGCTGTCATAGACCAGAGAATCCACCTCTTCCGAGTACAGCATATGACCTAGTCTGATGGCTTCCGTCACGACCCTTCGCGCCACTCCAGACTCCCAGGTAGAGATATACATAGGCAATGTATTGGATACAGACAGTAGACTGTTCTTTAATCTCCCCAAATGTCCAGTATTGCTCGTTGGTGGTGGTACAGTCGTTCGTATGGTTGGCTCCTTGAGGCCATGTTGTGTATGACTTCGTCGCAGCCGCTCTGCTAGATTGCTCGGTTCTGTGCGGGGGGTATGAGGGATCACTACCGTCCTTGATAGGGTACAAGCGCGATCAGAGAGAAAGTCTAGCTCGCGGTCCATATCTTGTCTGACCCTTCTGATCCACGATTCTGCATCTTGAGGAAATAGGAAGGCATATCCGCCCTCAGAATCATCCTCAGCTGCAGCCAGGGAAGGCACGGATATATGCAGGATCAAGACATCCAATGACAGGGGCCCAGACAGGGCATATTCCAATGAATGTCTGCAGAACTCCACCGGTGGTCGCCTTCTGAAATGTCCCCCCAGCTCCCAACGTATATGTGATCTGTACTGTTGATAGGTATGAGGTCGTAGAGTGAGATGGAGCCGCCGGATGTGTTTAGTGTTTATGTTCCATGCAGGAAGAGAGACTGCTTTGTCGTCTGTGACGGGACGTGCTCTTGCCGCAAGGCTGACGCTCGCCGGCCTGAGGTCATATACCGGTGTGCAAAGGAGACAAATCCCGCGGATGCACTCACTGCGTTGATAGAGCGCGTGGTGGCCGGGTGAAGGGAGACCACTCCAAAGTGTGAACGTCTCGATGTAAAAGGTATTGAGACCGTAGAGAATTGACAAAGCTTCCTGGTATATTTGCTTGTTGACCCTGAGCAGACGAGGGCAGATATCCAGTGTCTGTGGAACTGGCCAAGTCGCGGCACGCGATCGTAGCGCATTAAGATCGATGGGACCATTTGCGACCAGGCTGTACTCATAGATGATATCTCGGAGCTCAGATGGTAGCCGTATGAAGAGAGATGCGGACATTTTGACAATCACAGCAATGTCCATGAGATCGCCGTCTTCTTATAATAAGATTCGTGGCTATAAAAAGTACATATATGCATGCCGGCATTGCGTCACCACAAATTAACCCCTAAGCCTGCGGGCTTGTAACAGTCCAACTCATGGCTTCGGGTACGTGGCCACCTTGATAGTACACCCAGGTGTGGTCTGAGCCACGAAGTATGTAAAGTTATGAGGCAATAAGAGCGATGCTCCTGTCTCAAGTATAACTGGATAGGCGGCGTTGTCGGAGCTTGAACTCATGACGACGCAAATCTGTCGACCTTCTGCGCTGCGGATCCAATTATAGCTATTTCCTGCAGCTGCAAGTATAACATTGTAGTCGCGTAGTACAAGGACCTCCCAGGCCGGGGTCGGAACACCTTTATCGAGGGAAGAAGCACCTAGATGTGTGAAATGCACAGGCTCTTCCGGCAGCGCGACTAACGGAGCACTGCCATCGAAAACTTTGACTGGACTCCCACTCACATGCTGTGGGTGGGCGATCCACTCGCGTACAGCAGCATAGTCGACGAATGGCTCACGACCGGTCTTATGCACGGAGGTCTTAGTCATGAATTCATCGATGCGCCTTGCTGCCGCAAGCAGATCGGAAATCGTTCGTGGATGAGTGGAGGCCAATACCGGCATTGTTGTCGTAAATGAGGCGGAGATGTTGTCGGAGATTAGAGCATCGAAACTTGGAGGAGGAAAGCCCTCCCACGGCGTACGCGTGTTGTTCTCAAAGATGTCAGAGCACGAGTCTCCGATAGCTGGGAAGCTGAAGTAATCATGCTCGATGGTGACAGGAGGGCTGCTGACGCCTTCGGCTAGCTGCTGGAGAGCTTCGTTGAAGGCCTCGCTGCTGACACTATCGATGGCCTCACAAGATGGATCGTTGTGCTCGATCCTTGGCAGTGTCGTCTCTTCAGTATCCTCGTGGCTGAGACTAAATGCAGCTGCAGTCCCGGCTGGTGGTGCTCGCACAGTACTCAAGTTTGTCTCACTTTCTGTGCGACGCTCAACGGATCGTTGTACACCATCCCTAGATTCACGGTTGTACGGACGCTCATCCTCGCAGTATACATGAGGTGGCAGTGGTTCATCATCGTTGCTGTTCGGTATCGGCTCGAGAAGACCACTTTCAGAGTTTGCCATGCAGTCAGTGTTTTGCCCCATCATATCTTGAGACGTCAGGGGCGAGCTCATGCCAGGGTCAACGCGGTCAGGCCCGTCATTGGCCATTAGAGCTTCGCAGATATCATCCGGAACGTCAGCATCGTCATGAATGTCCTCGTCCTCGACAACAGTAGACATAGAGAGGGCATTGGCTACTATGCTTCGGCCGTCTCTGGAATCATGGGACTCTGTCTGGCCGTGGTAGATCAATGCTGGTGCATTCGGACTTTGCTCGTGCGAGAAGACCTCATCGCGAACATCTTCTGCCGCACTACGCACGTCGATGTCTGGCGACGTCTGATCACTTAGACCAGAGTCACTTTCACCAGAGCTGACGAAGAGATCGGGCGAGCGTGGTATGTGCAGGCTGGTCGGCAGCCGAAGTCCAGCGGCCCGTGTAGGTGGGTATCCTGGTAACTGCTTACCACTGTATCCTGCACGTGCTGTGGAGGTGGCTCGTTCGCATGGCGAGGACGTCTCTTCGTATGAGCTCTGCTGTCCATCCGCAGCATCCCCACCACAGCTTGTCCACGGTGTGGAGGGTTGCTGAGCGTTCGTCGGTCCTTCCGGAGTCACTGCCCTGACTGACCCCGCGCATGATGCCTGAATCACCAAGGTATCCGTATGTGGTGTTGATGCGGCCGGAGTCTTCTTCCGTGGTGTGGCAGGTTGGTTCTTGGGAGGAGGTCTTTTTCGTGGATCCTTATCCGGTATCAGCAATCCATGAGGGCTATATACCAGTGCAAAGGATTCAACGAATGATCGCATACACGCCATTGCATCCTCACCGACGTCGCTCTCGAGATCATCTCGAAAACAATGGCTGCCGACGAGAAGAACTGGCGGGTCCATGGCGGCATTTTGAAGTGCAAATTCGATGTCGACCTTTGAGATTGGCTTTCTCCAATCTCGGATCTTCTCTCCGGGGAAGTGTAGACCGATATAGATTGCTTTTGCATCGAGAAACCTCTGTCCTGACTGCGCTGCCAAGTGTCGCGAGATCATCGCCGCGTTGATACGCTGTACTGCCGAATGCCATGATGGAAGCAGCGTAGCGAGCGTAGCAAGTCGTTTGACGGAACGCGACCCAAGCCGTTGGAAGGTGTATTCTAGCGCCGGTTCTCGCCATGCCCAAGCGATCCCAACGATACCTCGCAATTCGGCGAATGGTGAATTTGGGTTGATTAACTCGCTGAGTTTGTGGAGTGATTGAAGCCAGTCAGGCTGGGGCCCGTGCCGAGTACCTGCAGCGCGTGTCAAGACAGCACTGTAAGCCGCCTGGAGGCCTAGTTCGTGATTAAGTAAGCCTTGGCTGAGTTCTAACAGAACCTCGTCCTTGTCGTGTGCGCCAACGGCTTCGCATCGATGATATACATTGTCCGCATACTCTATAACGGCCACCAGATCGAGGGCGGAAGTGTCATCAGACATGGTGCATGGTACCTGCAGCTGCGGCAGATTCAAGGCTTATCAGAACGGTGCGTGATACAGTCTTATTTGTGCGATCAAGCGCGGGGCCTGCGGCGCTTCCTCGCACCCGTGCCGCAGACGAGCATACAGCTCGACTTCTCAAGCAACTGCGAAGTGATAGTGCGTTGTTGGTACCCACCCAAGCGATTGGCACAGAGTACATGCGTACGGAGATAGCGGCACCAACTACATGTGTACGATCAAAGCGGCACCGAGAGTGACTGAGCTGGGGATATTCTGTACTGTGTCGCCAGGTGACCACGGGAACAGACGCCTGGTGATTGATGCACAAGTTCAACGCATGGAGGGGTTGACTGGTCCAGGTAGAGGACGACATCGAGATCATAGTACAAGGGCACAAATATATGTTATGTACGGGAGAGTCGTCTGGCCACCTTCTTGGAGAGGGCTTCCGGCATAGAGCATCAAAAAACCCAGACAGATGGCGGCGTTAAGGTTATGAACCAGGGGCATGAGCCTATGCAACGTCACCAAGTGACCGCGAATATGGTCGCCTGGTAACATTGACGGGCAATACGTTGACCAAGTCGGACAGACCGTGACGCTGCTACTGTGACGTGGAGTTGGGCGAACAAAGCATGGCGCCAGGCGACCGCAGAAACGGTCGCCTGGCGACATTGATGCTCGAGTTGGACGCACTGTTGCGGCGACTCGCCCGTAGACCAAAATAGAACACGTCACCGAGGTTGTCAAGTCTGGAAAAGCATCCGCGACAATGTATGTCGCCAGGCGACCGCAGGAATGGTCGCCTGGTGACATTGAGACACGAGGTGAACGCATCGTTGCGGCAACTTGCCCGTCGACCAAGATCAAGCATATCATCGAGATAATTGAGTTTGGGAAGGCATCTGCGACCATGTGTACCGCCAGGTGACCACAAAAATGGTCGCCTCTTGACCTTACTGTAACGCACAACGTTCATCAAACGCAGACAGACGGGTGACACTGATATCACAGAGGTCGGGGCACAGACCATGTCGCCAGGTGACCGCAAAAAGCGTCGCCTGGCGACATTGATGTGTAAATTCAAGGGCGGTCATTGAGCTAGCGAAAGAGTCTGCGAACATCCGTGTCACCAATGAAAGCGAACATGGTCGCTTGGCTACATCTTGGAAATCCATGGCCGGAATCAACCACGTCGAGGGCTTGACCTTGTACGTTGGAGACCCTCAAAGATTGTGTTCCTAAAATAAGCTGGCCATGGTGCGTAGCGCTCTAGACATAAAAGACAGTCATTCTAAGCTCTATTCCAGTACTTTCTGCTGGCAAGCACGCAACATGAAATCACTATCATGCTTCGTGGTTGCGACACTACCTCTCCTCGTTGAACATACTTGGGCTGGCTCGGGCATAATGTGGACGAAGAAGACGAACAGTTCTATCTTTCTTGCAACATCGATCGCATCCGGAAACGCTGAGGCATCCAGCCTGTTCTCGGGTTGTCAAGTCTACGACGCGGGTGGCACTGCAATCTCGAATGGCTCAGGCTTTCCTTGCGTCAAGCTTGTCTTTGGATGGATGCTCTATGCCATGGCTGTGACGCCCAACGGCGACAACGACGTTGCTACCGCCATTTCCGGCCCCGGCAATGTGACACAGCACTTCTCCCAGCACATAAGTCGAGCTATTAAAGAACGGCGGGTGGACGACAAAGCTTATCACCAGGCCAGCGTCAATACCTCTGCCAAGCTTGTAACCAATGGGTCCACGTTGCAATTGAGCAAGGATGGCGGCTACACTACGGCATCGTTGATCCCGCCCCCAACGCACAAGCCGCGGGATCTGGTGTCCATTCCGGATTGGCAATACTTTCGTTTTAGTGGAGTCGATGGTCTCAAAATCGATGGGACGAACTACGGCATACCCCAATCCAGTACTTACGAGAGCGACATCATGAAATTGGCGGACGATTTCTACTGGGACATTGGAAACTCGGATCGCTGGCAATATCAGATCTGTTCCAATGAAGAAAATACGCAAATGCTGGTCAATGGCAGCATCATCGTTGAGGCTACAGGTTTTGGGATCAATGTTGAGCCACTTGCTGCTATGTCTTGTGAAGACGTGGTACGGTACGCCAATGTTCAGGGAGCTTAGACGGGACATCATCCACAGCGCCCTGGCTGGTTCAGGTAGTGCCAGTCATTCATTGGAAAAACAGTTGTGAGCGTATACTCGTGCTTAGTAGATTTCATCCACCACTAGAGGTGCCTTTGACATAGCATGCAACACTTTCTTCATTGCTTGAAGCTCGGACATATTGTTCAGACAAGTCCAATATGTCGTTCACGAGAGGTCCGTGCCTTTTACGACGGGCCGCTACTAACTTACGTGTTGGTGGCGTGTCATCGTTGTGATTTGCGCAGCACGCAAGAACGAACGTACCTCCGTGAGCATTATTTCAACTCGATCTGAGAGCTCCGGACAGTACAGCCTGTGGACTACATTTTCGCATCAGGCCCAAAGACCCAAACGATCGATACTGCAGCAGAGGCAATACTTCCAATCCTATTCTCTACGGCACTCAAACAGAGAGCACGCCATATCTTGAAGGAGTTTTCTGGTTTCATCTGCAGGAGGACTGGCAGTAAGCTTACGTTCTGAGCTTATCGTTGCTGAGACAAACGTGTATAGCTAATTTCTCGAGTCAGCGCTTTTGAGCACGGCGGGAGTCCAGGCAATGTCGGCTCCAGCAGAACTTCTGCTCACGACACTGTTGAGAGCTGGCAGAATCTCCCACGAAGAATGGCAGAGCTGCGGCAGCACGCCATGTCAGGTGAGACTTGTGCATCTGCAATACGGTGACCGACGCAACAGTCACGCTGCCTTGTCGTCGGGACTGAACATGCCCGAGATACTGGAGTTGGTCCTTGCTTTTTTGGATCCGGCTGAACAGCTACGAAGTCAGGCTGTCTGTCGCGGTTTTCGAGCAGTGGTCAATACGTCACCAACAATCGCGGGGGCTATGTTCCAGAGACCAATGCCGCAGCATCTTACAAGAGGGAATGACCTTGCTGCTGGCACACTCTTTCCTGCCCGGGTACCGTACCATTTAGCGGGCATATATTGCAGAAAATCGCGGGTCCGTGGTCGACGTGGGCTTTCTATACGTGTCTCCAGTCGATGGGTCCGACATTATTGGCGGTTATGTAGAGATGGTGCAACACTTCGCGGCGTACTGATCAGTCAACCACCACCCAAGAGTGTCCGTATCTGGGCCGACTGTGGGTGTGGAGAGCGACGCCAACTGGGCATATCGAATCGGAAAGGAGTGACCTTTGGAGAGCTGTTCGAAAGGCTTAGACGCTACGGGTACCCCTGTTGGCATTGTACTCGTCATTTCTATATCAGGGTGGTTACTTCAGCCGACGATGGTTCTTAAAATAGTTACAGGAGGAAGGAGTCCGGCTGTTCAAATACTGCGATGATTCCATCTTACTAGCCAACATCCATCGTTGACAGATCTTCACTACTACTGCAGCCCAGTCATCATGCCTAAAGACACTAAGCTATATGACATACTGGGCGTCCGCCCGGATGCAGATGCGACGCAAATCAGACATGCATACATGCAACGATCTAAGCAGACACATCCTGATAGACCCAAAGGAGATTCAGCTCTGTTCGCAAGGTTGGCCACGGCTTACAATATCTTGATCGACCCCAAGGAAAAGGCAGCCTACGATCGAGATGGATACAAGCACACCCCGCTCTCCGATCAGGATGCTAAGGCAAGCTTTTCCGACGCATACAAGGATGAATATGTACTGGATGACGAAGCCGCCAACTTGATAGACCACTGGGTGCAAGAGGAGACTCTTGATGAAGTACCGAAGATCAGTCTTGGCACTGATTTTGAAGGCGTTCCAGAGAATCTTGCGAAACTCTTCGGCGACTATAGCCTCATGTCCTCCTCCCCAAGAGGTAGACAGGCGATTAACAGTATGTCATTCGCTCGAGCAGATATGGAAACGCACTAATGATCAGCTCTGTAGATCTGGCATCCTATTGCGGGAAACATTTCGGCGCCCGCAATGAACAGATCCTGAAGGATTGGGACGGGAAAGACCAATTGACTCCCTTCATCGGTAACCAGTACTACACTCGAGACGGTGGCCTGGTGGATAAGCCAGAGGTTTTGAAGTTGACTTGGCCTATAAATGATCTTATGAAGCTTCACCGAGAATTCGAGGACGACTTTCGTCAACTTCTCGAAGGCTCGGCCGGAGCGCTTGAAGTTCTGCGCGTGGCACATCGCCCGAGGTACAATGCCATGCTTACACAAAATCTTCCGGTTATGGAGGGTGTGGCCAAGAAGATCGTCTGGGCCACTATTGATGAGACTCTACGGGAGCTTAGAAACCTCGCATCCAAAGAGAAAGGAGTAGACACGGTATGGAAGACGAAGAGAGTCAAGTATGATACGCTTGCACGGCAACACCGCTTTCCACCGGACTGGACGCAGATGGTTGACGAGAAGTTGGCACCTGACCTCAAGAGGACGATTGCTACTCAATCGACGTGGAAGCCAACCACTGCTGCTGCTCAATCGAAGGGGAAGCCTGCCACCGTCGAGAGTGAAGTTAGGGACGAGGTCGGTCATGATCTCGGAGTAGCTGGACCTGTAACCTATCCAGATCTTGGTCCCATCTCAGCTCCAAGCACGAGAGGCAGTGGAACAACCCATGCTATTACAGCTACTGGTGACGATAATACTCAGGCTGCAGGATCTCCATTGCGAAGTCCCAAGGGTAAAGAGGCGATCCGGCCGGACACGAATGTTCTTCATGACGATGTCACTAGATCCATCATGCCGCCAAACAACAGAGATGCATCTGTCCACCAGGTTCACGCCGAGTCAAGCTCTAGTCAGATTGGTGCCCCTGTGTCGCGAGATCTGGGAACACTGGAAGATGCTAGCGCTGAAATTTTTGTCCGTGATTGGAAGCAGAACTCCTTCAAGGTCTTTGGCTGGCGGACTTTCGGAAGAGCTGAGCAGATATTTCTGGAGACCGAAAGTGGTCAGCAGTTGGATTCCAGCAGTGGTCGACGGTCGGCGCTAAAGATACTTCGCATCGAGTCCGCAAGTCCATATCGTGCGACGCTCGAGACCGTCAAGCAACAGCCCATGCTAGACCTGAATCGCAAACAGCTGATGCATGACGACCTGCGACGACACGACCTTAGTGATCTCAACATAGTAGCATTTGCTCAGAAGACGCCAGGCGTTGCGCCAGCATCCGGCTACCCTCGGGACACCCCGTGCTACTTCATCTCGAAGTCTGAGTCAGGTTATGGCATTGCGACAAAATCTGATATGATGAGAGCTTACGGCGATCATGCAGTGGGACGTATGGTCGACGAGATCTGGAAGAGTGGTTCTAAGGATCTTATAAAGCTGAAGCCAATGCAAAAGCGCCTGGCGATGGAATATGCCGCCATGAATGACAGCGACTCAGACAGCGACTCGGATTCGAGCGAAACCCCGCTCATGTCTCGTGACGGTAGACGAGAGGTGAGGCGGCTTGGCTCGGGGTACAGAGCTCGCCCAGCACAGCCATACTTGATGCTTGGGGCGAGACAAGGGAAAGCTCATGCCGAGCAGTCGCAGGATCGTGTTGAAAGTGCAGTCGCTGGCCTCGAGGACCTATCACTGGCTGGGCGCAAGATCGTGTTTTCCAACTATCCTGCCATGACTGGTGAACCTCAGACGGCTATAGAAGCTCTGAACAAGCTTAGGGAAGCAGCCACAGATGGTAAGGGCGAGGATCTGGCAGTCATAGACCAGTTGCTGAAAGCTGCGCTAGAGCTCAGAGCAAAGGAGAATCAGCGTGTCTACGTTTGATGTAGAACAAATTTTACTTATCTTATAACGTTACCGCGTATCTCGCTGTACTTACGTATAGTCGGTTCCTTCTTGACAAAACTTCATACTGTGGTAGAGAGAATGGACATCCCTCGGGTTTTGAGATGTAGGTCTCGATACATGTCTCATCTGTTCCACTTTGACCTCCCTGACGGCAATCTAACTAACAGACCAGCCTTACAGTGAGTCTCGATCACGAGACATCAGTGTTTGATTTGAGGAAGCTGTACACCGCTTTGGTGCCCGATGGGCTTCGAATTTATTTTTATCGGCTGCGTTCTTTTTCTCGGCAAGCTACGACCTTAAGCTCATGCAATCCGGCATGCTGCCAGATATAGAACCGGACCGGTGATACTACTTCTTCCGTAAAGAAGCTGCTTGCGTACCGATCACGGACTCTCTGAAGACGCTTCTGTTGGATGTACCGCGGATATGAACAGGTACTAGCAACATAAACATCGGAAAAAGAGGAAGAGCTGTTGGGTTGAACTGGTCATCCATGAAGGTTGACCAGTAGCTTAATCTTGAGCCTACAAGAGTAACTTATTCTATTCTACATCCGTGATCCAGGAGCATGGAGCCCCGAGATCTATAGAGCATGACAGAGACTGCTAGAACTGAGATCATGGCACCATATTATATTCTCTCCAAAGTACATGACTTATGTAGGCCACGACGAAGCCATTGAGCTTTATGCCTCACTTCGACGCTTATACTTGATATCGTGTCCGTTGGACAGATCTTGATATGACCGGGCCTCACATAGGCATTTGGTAGCTTTGCGTATTGCAACAGCTGTTTTACGCATGGTATCCAGCGTCTCGCCCATGATCTCAACTGCTTTGGTGAAGGACTGAACAGCAAGAGCCATCCTGTCATCGTTGTCTTGTGGAGGACGTGTGAATGGCTGGTCGGTGCGGTACAGGAGTCGTCCGCGCGATATGTCGGCTTCTTCAGGCATAGTGATCGTATCCCACGGATCATGTAGGTCTTCGTCTGTGGACGGTGTCTCGACTAGAGATTGGTAAGTGATGATGGACTACTGCCTTTCTGGATGATTTCCACCTACGCCACGACATAGCTGGAGAGTCGGCCATCAGATGATAGAATATGAAGTAGAAATACCTCCGTGGCCATATCATATCTTATAAAGACCTGAACATCGGTTCAAAAATAGATCAGGGTGCGCCGACAGGAACTGCCGCCATGACACCTGTTGGCGCTAGCCTGTAGGGTCTATTGATTGCATCACCATAAGTGAGTGAGGCCAGATCAAGGTGTGATAAGCGTCGGAGATTTGGGGATATGAAACAGGTTATCGCTAGGCTTCAGCGGCGCAACGGCATATTCTTCGCCTCTCACATCATCAGAACACGACGCAGGGGGGTGCCAATCACAATATGCTGACCACAATCGGATTCTTTGACAGAAGCATTGAGGGACGAGTAGAGTTCTACCACTCTGGAGACTGTTCGGTCTGGTGGCTGCGGATCCTTACCAAATGCTTAAAGTTCTTGGCTTGCGGCATGGCTTTACCAACCTTTCAACAGGCGTCGAGACCTACCGATCCTGCGGCCATGGAGGATATATCTCCGTCCGGCGACGAAGCCTCTTTGAGATTCGAGGAAAATGATGCAGGACCGAAGTGTCTATCGACAGACTCATTCAGAGACCTCGTCGGGCCAGGAATCTAGATTGACGCTGCGTTGGTCGCCCTCTTCTGTGCCTACCTGCAGCAGTATCAACGTGGATGCGACATTTCATGGTAGCATTAGCGGCATGCATAGAGCGCTAGCATTCGTCGATATCTCGATTCAGACGTGCATCTGCTGAAACTTGGCTTCGTACAGGTCTCGTCAATGGTTCGTGGAATAAGCGCTGACGTGGTGTGGTTGGGATTGAGCAAAGCATCGGGCCGGCCCGCGTCCGATCATCCTCGAGGGGAAGTCAATGGGCGCGTTCCTGTCAGAATGCACAGCCAGTCTGGGATCAAATGCTACTTAAGACAATGCATGGCCCTGTCACATCTCCTCCACCCCACTTTTCCTTCTTGTGCAGCATTCTACCTCCCTCTGTCTAGCACGATGGTCATCGCAATACTGATCCTATGCTTAGTGTGGCCCACTACTCAACATCAAATTGTCTTTGAACAGCAACAGCAAACAACGCCAGTCCTTCGAATCAATCCAATGACTGTCCCCACCCAACACTCACCTGCACAATTGTTCCAGCAGACATGCTATGGCGAGCAGGCATTTATCAGCTCCCACAAGCTAGCATGTGCTGGCTGTCGTTGCTGGTACGAATGCGAGATCGAGCAGCATGGCTGGTAAGGTACGAATATGCACGAGAGGCCATCAACTGACGATCGTATAGCAAGGTCTGCAACTCGGCCGACTATCGCGGCAGCTGCAATGCCGACTATCTGCGATCTAAACCCAATAATGCTCGAACTCGTCGGGAGGTGGAGCTGTCTGCGGTGGCGTTCTTTCCAAGGGGAGTTTCGACCAATACTACAGGCATGCGCGAACAACATCATGGTGACAATGGAGCGGCACTTGTCTTCGTCAAAAACTTTGTAACATCCTTCGTTGGCTGAGATCTTTTGGACATGAGTATATAGTAGTGCTACAGTGAGCAACAGATTATGGAGTCCTTCTCGATAGTCCGGTGTCTTCCCGAACAGCACATGAATTCTTGCTTCGAGTCACAAATGGACAGATTTTGCTGCTTTGAAAGAAGTATTTCCCTCAAAGGCACAGAGTTATTTTCACACCGAGTTTCGTACTTGGTGCCTTATAATTGAAGTTGCCGTTCGCCTGGGTACTATATCGCATACACACCATCGATCGGGAGCTTATGGCATGCGAGGGCGCTGTGAAGGAAGTAGACCTTGCGGCAATAGGTTAGTTGGAGAGCGAGGTATTTTCCAAAGATTTGAAAGCATCGACTTCTGTTGCGCAGCAAAATTCAAGATGTTCGCGTCGAGAGTCTGACACACAGCAAGCGCATTGGGCAAGCATATCTCTCCCTGATCCGGGAGCAATGTCAGCGCTTCGGACTGCGAACGATTGACGTGTGAAGGAAGGGAGACGACCGGGAGATGTATGAGCAAACCAGACCGTTGCTGATCTTGCGGACCAGGCGGTGACCCCCAACGAGTGGATGTTGCTAATCGATTTCCGCCTGTCTCACAGCGCCATGGAATTCCTTTGAGCCGCCCAACTTTCGTGGTTGCGTACTGAACTATCAAGATTACACTACATGCCCAGGAATAGGGAAAGTCTTCATTGTATGGGAGTGATGACTCCATGCCCTCGCGAGATGATATCTCCCTGTGTCTAATCGAATTGATAGCCGGTTCTTATAACTCGGTCCAGTGTGCCAGCTCGATATGATCTAGGTCGTCGTTTGTGTCGGACGGACGTCGTTCTGCCCTCAGGATCTCATACAGTCTGAGACGAAGATGATCGAGTAGAGATCGAATCCACCAAAGCATACCACCTTTGTGTTCTTGTCGATGGTCCGAGGCTGATATATCATGGATACCGTCGGCCGGAAGATGACATAGTGTCTGTATATAAATCTTTGGTGCTTGCTCGGTCCTATTGCACAAGGAAGGGGTGTGCATCCTGGCCGTAGTGTATATGAAGATGTGTGGAATGAGGATGGTCCTGGAACAAGACTAGATAGATTTATGCGCTTCGTAGGGACAGAGTAATTGAGGCAGATGAGCAGTACAAGTGAGCAGTAAGATCGTGGGGAGATGTAGAAATTACGGTGTCATGGACTCCAACAAGGGCGCTGATGGCTGCTCCACATTTAGGCAGATCTCATAAATAATGCAGTGCGCGCAGTTCTTATGCTTCAGAAAAACATTGATATCTGCTACGCGATGCATCTCTGGATTCGCTGTCGTCTCTTGGTGGTACAGCTTGTCACTGCTCAGATCCAGTGGCCAACGTTCGCAGGCAACGTTACTCGAAGCGTAGCATTTCCTCTAGAGATCGACAACGGCAATGCAATTGTCGGGAAGCTTTACGACGGCTGCTACTGGTATGATTATGCAGGAAACGATCTATCTGATGTCGAGCCTCTTGTACCACCGTTCGATGAGCACAACGGCGAGATCTGCGTGGTAGCACTGCTTGGATATATGCTGGAAGCAATGATCAGTACATCCAATCAATACGTCGCAATGGCTTCCTCAGGCAAGGGCCAAGTGCAAGACAATCTACCCGCACGACGTCGAAGATCGGAAGGAGTAGGAAGCAGCTACATCGACCTCGCAGAGAGACATACAACATCGATCGAACGCTCAACCGCAGTCGTCGCCAACGGTCTCACTACGGATTTCGACATCGAAGCATCGGGCAGCATCTTAGCCGCCCATACAAACAGCACCCATTCAGCCGTACATTTTTCGAACACGACTAAAGTCCGTCGAGACTATCTCCCGACAAATTCGACGCATTTCCAGTTTACGCAGATTTCCGGTCTGAAGCTTGTGTCTCAGAGGACTGGAGACTGGTCTTCCCCGAGCATGAGGCCTGATATGTTAGCGTTCGCACAGGGGCTTGCCGGAGACGCAACGTACAAGTATGGGGCCCCATTCAGAGCTTCGGATACATGGGCTTTTAGCGTCTGCGCTGTCGGGACAAATCGGACATTGTATCGTGGTAAGATCATAGTTGAAGAGTATGGTGCAGGGATGAATTTTGAGGACGACATGCTGGTAGATGGTCCCTGCTCGATCTTTGAAGGATGCTCTGTGATGTTGTAGTATAGCTTCATAGATCGATTAAGCTGGTCTTGCTCGCGTTGATGCTTCATCACTCTGTTTGTGCAACAATAACATGTTCAAACATAGCCAGGGACTTTTCCTGGACGCTGCGCTTGTGTGGTCATGCGGTGCCACGAAGCAGTATCAGCGACCATGAATAGAGAGACAAGCGATACTGTCATGGTGTGGAGTGTCGTGCATCTCCACCTGAAGACAGGAAAGAGTACTCTATTGACGCTGCTACCTCAGTCAGATGTCGATACTGGAAGAGACACACATTGGACCGAGGTGCTGATCGCTTTGACGGGACTAAGATGTTCTCCTCTCATGACATCCTATAGCAGAGTTCCATATGAGTATCACTCGATATTGCAAGTCTGCCAAAATGACCGGCTAATGGAGCTAACGCCCGTTCATAAAGGGGCCCCCTTTGTAGATTTGTAATATGCTGATTATTCCTTGAAGCGCAGCCATGAATTCTTCCTCACATGGCCGTGATGGGCTTGGAATTGTATGGGAGCTAATGGATGTTCGTGAGGGCGGCCTCAAGTCCACCTGCACACGGCTGTGACATTCTGCGGGAGCTAGCGGGCGTTTGATAACGGCGTCTCTATTCTATACATATTCCTACATCTGTGATATGCTCGGCGTCATGCGGGAGCTAGTGGACGTTCGAGAAGGGCGTCCTCACATTATACATATTCCTACATTGCGTCCCTGTACCTGCAATATAGCGATCCTCGTTGATGAACTCGCACAATGTTTATTCGAAAGTTACTATCAGAAGGATCGCCAGATGCGCCTCGTCCGGTGCCTGACGATACTCTCATTTTCTCTTTCACTCTTTACGAGTACGAGCCGACTTCCCAAGACAGTGAATTCAAGGGCAAGATGTGCGCGGGAGCATCGTATGCCATTCCACCTACGACTAACAGGCACATAGTCTTTCCAAAGCTTGTATGGAATCACCGGCGATCAACGTCCGCCCTGAGTGTACGATTCCCGCGAGATTCTACTCATGATAGACAATAATATCTCTAGGGCTCCGAGGTGCGTTAACCTCCGAAGCTGGAGGCATGGGTAGTGGTGAACATGCGATCTTTTGGATGTGTGTAGACCTGAAATTCATATAGTAGCTAGAGCTAAGAGAGTGCAGATCGAGGACCTCCCACAGCGCACAGGACGACGACATGCCGGACTGTTTCATCCTGTCAGATAATTCGCAAATCATTCATTATGACAAAGACTGATATAATACAGGGACATACACCTTCGAATGATCAACTATCACCTGAC